CTCTCATTTACATTCAGTGGTTCTGTTTTAAGCCATCTCAGGTACCTAGGACACTTGGCATGAAAGGTTTGTTTGAAACAAAAGTGACCATGTATTCTAAGGGCTAGATTCAGCTGATTTACAGTGAGCCGGTGGGTGAGAAAAGACATTTTGTGAGCTGCTCACCAGGACCTTTCAGCATCAAGTCTAGGTTGCCATTCTGATAGGGGGGGAAATACTGGGTTCTGTGATTCTTGTGTCCTGTTCTTACAGGGTGGGACATCTTTGCTGCATTTCTATCCATTCCTCCTGTGAAATACCACTATTTCAAGGCATGGAAAGTTAGTTTGCTGAGAAACAACTGTTAAATGACTGGCAAAGAAGGAAGTGGCATTGATGTTTTGTGCTTGAGTTCCACAGTTTGGTGGAAGATGATATTTCCTTCCCCCCGCCCCCAGATGTGGCTTCCTCTTTTGTTACAGTTAATAAAACAGGGTTGGCTTCTGGTTAGAATGGGTAGAGCTGGTTATAGTCCTAGGGTGTGTATTGGTTGTCTACTTGGCAAGAAGTAGTGGACCCAGACGAATGGGTTAAATGAAGATACTATTTATATAGGTGTGACCAGATAAAAGGTGGGTGGGGTGTTTCCATACCAGCAAGCAACTCTCCAACACCAGGTAGGTGTCCTATAATTCAACTCAGTTTTGGCACCATCTACCTGGAGACAACACCCACAGGTTAAGGGCGCAGTCCCACAAGACTGCCCCCCGGCCCTGCCACTGCAGACACCAATCTGAGGTCTGGGTTGTCACCTGTGCTTCTGACATACTGACTGTTGATGGGAGGTTCCCATGACTCCCTCCTTGAGTTCCATTAATTTGATAGAGCAGAACTTAGAAAAACATGTTACTTATTAGGTCACCAGTTTATTAGGAAAGGATAGGACCCAGGAACCACCAGGTGGAAGGGATGCAGAGGGCCAGGTATGTGGGAAAGGGTGTAGAGCTCCCATGTCCTCTCCAGGCACCACTCTCTCCCAATCTCCAGGTGCTCAGAACCTAGAAGCTTCCCAAGCCCTGTTCTGTTGGTTTTTATGGAGGCATCATTATACAGGCATGACTGATTACATCATTGGCCATTGGTGAGTGGTTCAACTAGCCCCTTGCCCCTCTGGTGAAATAGTGTGTGTGGGGTGGTGGTGGACTGAAAGTTCCCACCCTCTATTCTGTTCTTGGTTGGTTCCCCTGGCAACCGGCCCCCATCCTTAGGTGTTTCCAAAAGTCACCTCAGTAACATAAACTCAGCTGTGGTGGAAAGAGACTTGTTACGAAATAACCAGACACCCATTTCACCTTTATGGCTCTGAAGTGATATCCAGAACTGAAGACAAAAACAAATACGCTAACAAAAGATGCTCCCATTGATCTTATCGCTCAGGAAATTCCAAAGATTTTTAGAAGCTCTGTGCCAGACACCGAGCAAGACCAATGATACATTTCTTATGATAAATTACAATTTCACAGCAGGGGTAAAGGGAAGCGACAAAGGATGGTGGGCACCCTGGGAGCAGCAATGGTAGGTGGGGGAACTCTTATCAATCCTTGGCTTGAAGGGGCAAAGGGAGGGAGCAGTTATAGAAACCTGGAAAGGGCCTTAGCCTGTGACAGAAGAATCCAGTCACCTGGGAAAGAAATACTCCATCTTTCTCTCTCGTCCAGTTCTCTTCTCTCCTTCCACAGCTACCATTGGTCAACCCCAGCTGAAGACAGAGAGAGCACACGACGGTCCTGATGATGCAGTCTGGACAGGACAACCTCCCAGTGCAAGCACAGGAGGATGGAGAGCAGTTTCTTTACAATTGCCCAGAGTGACTTGTTACATGCTTGATAAAGTTTGAGAGGTGGCCACACCTCTGTCCCTTAGGCTGAGCATTTTCTCCCTTGGTTTGTGAGACCAAGTGGAATCCTGTGATGATGACAACCTACTGCTCTACCAAGGGAAGGTGAGGCACCTGAAGCAGGCCTTAGAGAGGAAGGTCATCAACACGCTCCCTCGTCTGATGGCTTCTAGTTTTCTCAGTTTTCATTTGTTCATTGGCTCATGGGCCACTTCACTATTTATATGAATCCCTCACTGTGGCTTTGCATCCAAACTCTCCAAGAGAGACATAAGCTGGATGCATTGGTCAGTTAACATCCAATAGAGAGGATGGCTTAAGGTATTCTCTGCTGGGCCACCTCCTAGATCCAATCAGCTGTGATTGGAAGTTGAAGTCATGTGGTACCAGGCCTGACCACATGTGTGCAAAGTACTCCTTCCACTCTACTTTGTCAACTGAAAAATAATATCAATTAGGTGTTTTGTCACCAAAAGGGATTTATTCAGGAAAAAGAAAGGGTTGTAACCAGTGCATGCAGACATGGCAAGCCACGCGCATTCTCCGGCCTGTGTGCCAAGATGGAGGGGTATATATAAGAGAAAAAATAAAGTTAAGGAGAGGAGAAATTAGAACCATAGAGCTTTATTATAAACATAGAGTTCTTCCTGTACTATTCTCTTGGTTACGGTGTGAGAACTTCCATAAGCCCTAGTTCCTTCCATAAATGCTCCTGACTAATTATGTTTGCTTCAAGTTCCAGTTAGTCTTTATCAACTTAGTGAAGTATATCAGTTAGCGTTGGCTGTGTAACAAATCACCCCCAAATTTCTTTTGCTTAAAACAACAGCTATATTATTTTGTTCATGATTTTGGGGGGGTTGGCTAGACATTTCTTCTGATCTAGGCTAGCTTGGCTGGTCTCTGATGGCCTCTTTTCTGTTGGTGGGTCAACTGGTGGCTGGATGATCTAGCATGGCCTCACCTCACTCCTACATTTGGTGGTTGGCAGGTTGGCAACCAGAATGCTGGGTTATTGACTAGTGAGACTTGTTTCTCTTCCACATGCTCTCTCCTCCTCCAGAAGGTAGCTTAGGATCATTCACATAGTGATCTCAGGGTTTCAAGTGCAGCAAAAGAGGGCAAGCCCCAGTGTGCAAATACTTTTCAAATCTGTTTGTTGTTTCTTTGGCCAAAGCCAGCCACGTGCCCAAGTTTAGAGTCAGCATGGGAGGACTGCACACGAAGAAGGGGCATTCTGGCATCTGTTTGGGCTAGTAATCTGTCACATGCAGAATTAGGCTGTGAGCACTTGGGAGGCTCAGAATTTCAGGGACTGTTGGTTTAGGCATTTCAGGTTAACATTCAGGCTGTTCGCTTCAGCTCAGCGGACAAGGGAGGCTTAAACACTCTCTCCTTTGCCATGCAAAAGAAACCTTTTGAGCAGTGGTTCTCAACCTTCCTAATGCCACGACCCTTTAATAAAGTTCCTCATGTTGTGGTGACCCCTAATTTCATTGTTACAAATTGAACATTATTAAAGCATAGTGATTAATCACAAAAACAATATGTAATTATATATGTGTTTTCTGATGGTCTTAGGCAACCCCTGTGAAAAGGTCGTTCAACCCCCAAAGGGGTTGTGACCCACAGGTTGAGAACCGCTGCTTTTGAGTATCACTTGCAGCAAATACTTTGAGTCTGACATGGAGGGGCTGAGGACCAGCCCACCTAGAGAGCTATATACAGGTGATAATTTAAATATATATTTTTTGATAATTTAAATATTTTATAAAAAGAAATGGGACACTGAAAAAGGAAGATATTCATGCTAGAGATAATAAGGTGTGGACAAAAGGGGCCACATGCTAACCTGACAAACTCAGGGAAGACCTGCATGGCGGTTGTGCAAACTAAAAAACCTAAAATAACCACAAAAGATGGTCTGGCAATTAAATATTTAACTACAAACATGGTGGGTAGTCATGTCCTAGGCCAGTATTTTCCAGGACGAAGATCAACTTAGCTCTTTACTGAACCCATTTGTCTTTTTGCCTCTAAGATAACATATCTGCGAAATGTCTGGGTAACTTGTAACTTCCCTTTTTTCCGGGCCCCTCAGGGAACAACAAATGGCACCAGGACATTCTCTCATTGTTATTGTTATCAATTGTTAATTATGTTAAACTATGCTCTATCCATCTATGTAAAAGAAGCATATGTCCATCATTTCATTTTTTTACCCTATTCTAGAGGTTTCTCCCCCCCCCCACCCCCGCTTTGCTTTATCCCACCTCCTTAATCTATCACCAATGGATTTCATGTAACCCATCTACGTCCCTTTCCTTTGATTGCAATGTATAAATACAAATGTAACCCGCCATTATCCGGAGCGTCATCTCAATTTGTTGAGGTTCTGCTTCCTGGCATATGGCGACAGTTTGGCTTAAATAAACTCACAAAATTCTTTACAGGTTTCAATGGTTTTTTTATGTTAACAAAGACAATGTTTCATAAATGTACTAAACCAAGATAAGGAGTAAATCGCTGGGTGTGTATTTCGACTTGTCAGAGTTGGGGATATTGGCCATAATTTTTCTGGATCTTACCAAGATTCTTCTAATACTAGTACAAATGAGAAGAAAATTTCAGGACACCATGCTAATGGGACCAGTCAAGAATTTTACCAGCCAAGTAGGTGAGTGTGATTATGTTGGGTAGCCCTATCTCAAAGACCAAGAGTATGGGCGTGCCATTTTCCCAAAGTGGTAAACTGAGGTGGAATATGACAAAAGGAAACTGGGGAACATGGTAGATACACTGACTCTCTCCCATACTCTGGCCTTCAAGTCTCTCACTAAGAAGTTCACCAACCTAAGGGAGCATCCTCGAAGCTGAATCCATTTCCTTGGTGTAGGTGGAAGCTGGCATCATTCTCCATTACCTGGTTTCCCCATTGGACACCATCACCATTTCCAAGTTCATTTTCTGAGGCACTTTATATGGTCCACCCGGGTAATGTACTACATAATGGTCCCTGCATTATGCAAATTCCCCTGCCAACACCCCAGCCTGCTCCACCCACAGGCTCCTTGAGAAACTGGAGATCGAGATAATAAACCATGTACTTCCGTTTTCTCTTAGCTCTGAGAAGCTCCCAGACTGGGTGAGAATCAAGGGATTTTCATCTTGTGGGTAAGTAGAAACTGGCTAAGTGTTTTTTCATAGAAAATATTCCTGTGTAACCTTGGGTCTAGAAAAATGTTCTGCATTGGAAAAATTTCCAGGAGACTCATCACAGGTCCTGTGCCTTTGGGGGCATCTCTCTCAGGTCCATTTGCCCAATTCTGCTTGGGTGAGGAGTGGGCCCGAATTGCTTTAATATATACACTCCAGAGAGATTGAGGAGCTTAAAGGGCACTAAATAAGAAAGGTGCAAGACACGGTCTGAAGCAGATGCAGCAGGTAACTCATTTGTTATTAAAAATGAGAAAACAAGATCTAAAAGTATGACTTTCCTGGAGTCCCACAGTGAATTACCAAACCTTTTCACACACCACACCCCTCACCCCCATAAACACATCAGCACACTCAGTGCCAGGCGAGTGGGGAAAGGCTTGTCTATTTTATTTACGGCCAAAGGCCCTACAGCAGCGGTTCTCAACCTGTGGGTCGCGACCCCTTTGGCGGTCCAACGACACTTTCACAGGAGTCGCCTAAGACCATCCTGCATATCAGATATTTACATTACGATTCATAACAGTAGCAACATTACAGTTATGAAGTAGCAACGAAAATAATTTTATGGTTGGGTCACAACATGAGGAACTGTATTTAAAGGGCCAGAAGGTTGAGAACCACTGATCTACAGGTTGGTGTTTTTTTTTTCAGCCAACTGCTGTGACCCCATGGTAGGGTAGGGGGTTATGAAACCCATTTAGTGAGTACCAGCCAGCATTTTAGAAGGAAGGAAAGGGCTGTTGTTATAAAATATCAGAAGCTGCATATAGTTGATATCCATTTGCGCAACTTGGCTCAGTTCTCTTTCTTTCTCTGGTGCAAAATGTATTTCTTACAGTGGGTCATGGCCAAAGCTCTCCGCAAGTCAGCCCTGACACTTATGGGAAATCAGCCAGACGCAGAAAGACAAAACCCGTGAGACCTCACTGTGAACGGCAGTAGTTACACTCACAGAGTCGGAGAGTAGGATGTGGGTGCGGGCCTGGGGAGAGGGAAATACGGGAGGTAATGGTCAAAGGGTATCCAGTTTCAATGATGGAAGACGAATATGTTCTGGAGCTCTATACAGCACAGTATGCACAGCTAACACTACTGTGCTGTGTACGGAAAATCTGCTAAGAGGGTGGATCTTACTACACACACATCACAAAGGGGGCAAGGGGACACACTTTGGGAGGTTGAAACTGGGCAACCAATGGGTCTGGACTGCCTGTCACTACTTGAGTCAATTAAGCAGAGACAGGGTTGAATCATATTTGAGCGTTTATTCCAATACTGCTGGCATATGGGAGAGAGAGCAGCAGGTCATCCATGAAAACCTGCTCTGCACCCCTCCATAAGCCAAATGCTTACTAGTATACGAGGTAGAAGGACAAAGATCCCATGGGGAAGTAGGCAAAAGGTTTAAGAATAGGTATGCAAAAGGAATAAGAATGGGTATTACAGACATGGTGAAGTAGGCAAAAGGTTTAAGAATAGGTATGCAAAAGGAATAAGAATGGGTATTACAGACATGGTGAAGTAGGCAAAAGGTTTAAGAATAGGTATGCAAAAGGAATAAGAATGGGTATTACAGGTATGGGGAAGTAGGCAAAGGAATAAAAATGGGTAAAATGGTTACAGATTACAGGCAATGTGGGCAGGGGTTGCAAAGGGTGGGCGCAACAAGGTTGTTCATCTTTCCATGGTGACAGGCAGATCTCAGAAAGGGAGAATGGACAGCATTCCAAGGTAAACGCCCAGATCCTGGGACATACACCTCTCAGCCAGGTTAGAATGTGCTTTCGCTAATGAGAACAAAACAATCACGGTTAACAGATCATGATTAATATTTCTTAATAGCTATAGCTAGTCCCCACTATTCTATTTCGGCCCCTAACACGGTGATGGATATGCTTATGGCCCGATGGTAGTGACGGTTTCATAGGTGTGTACTTTTCTCCAGACTCATCGAGGTGTGTACATTGAACATGTACAGCTTTTTACATGCCAATCATTCCTCAGGAAAGTGGTTTTACAGAAAACAAAAAACATCCAAAGCAGCACTGCTAGAGGTCTAGCTGTTCCGGGAAACATTATCACCTCCTTCACATAAAATACCATTTAAACTGGTTTCAAATGAGACCTCTAAAAAGAACTGTCCTCACTGGACAGGGTGTCTTTATGCTGGGAGTTTCCACAGTGTGTTTTAGACTATGTTTTTGGAAGGAAAGAGAGACACGAACCCAAAAGGGAAACAAATGTAGGCAGAAGGGGAGGCATGTAGGAAGTGACCTAGAATAACTCCTCAAAGTTGGGTCAGAATCTGATTTTCAGTCAGAGAGTGTACCCACTGGTTCTGCATTTAAGGCAAAAGTGGATTTGAAAGACTTTAGGTGGAGCCCGTGACCTCCAGTTTGGCACAGTTCCCAATTCTCCCTCCAATGGACTCATTTATTTGTATTCCATGTTTAGCTCCTAGGAGGCATGGGGGTTTAGGGTCTTGGTGTTGGGGTTACACAACAGCTTTAGATTCAGCCTAACTTTGTCCAAGTCTCAGTTTAGCATTTTTGTAGTAGCATCACCTTGAGCAAGTGATGCAAATGATAGAACCTCGTTGAGTCTCAATTTCTTCATCTGAGAAGTGGGGATCATGAGATCTACATCAGCGGTTCTCAACCTGTGGGTTGAAACCCCTTTGGGGGTCGAACGACCCTTTCACAGGGGTCGCCTAAGACCATAGGAAAACACATAGATAATTACATATTGTTTTTGTGATTAATCACTATGCTTTAATTATGTTCAATTTGTAACAATGAGAATACATCCTGCATATCAGATATTTACATGACGATTCATAACAGTAGCAAAATTACAGTTATGAAGTAGCAACGAGAATAATTTTATGGTTGGGGGTCACCACGACATGAGGAGCTGTATTAAAGGGTCGTGGCATTAGGAAGGTTGAGAACCACTGACCTACATCATAGAATGCTGTGAGCTTTCAATGAGATGATAGTGAAACTGGACAACCAATGGATCCGGGCTGCCTGTCACTACTTGAGCAAATTAAGCAGAGCCAGGGTTCAATCCTATATGAGCATTTATTCCAATAATACTGGCATATGGGAGAGCAGCAGGCCATCCATGAGAATCTGCTCTGCACCCCCCCCAAACCAGCTGCTTATATGGGGTAGGACAAAGATTACATGGGGAAGTAGGCAAAAGGAATAAGAAAGGGTATGCAAAATGGGTATTACAGACATGGGGAAGTAGGCAATGTGGGCTGGGGCAGGACTCCATGTTTGGGCAGCAAGTTGTTAATCTGCCCATGGTAATAGGCAGCTCTCGAATGGAAATGGACCACATTCCAAGGTTGACTCCCAAGTCCCAGGGGCGCACATCTCCCTGCCAGGTTAGGATGTGCTTTCTTTTCTGAGAACAAAACAATCCAGGTTAACAGAGCAGGATTAATATTTCTTATAACTATAGCTATAACTATATTCTATTTGCCCCAAACAATAGCACCAACACTCTTAGTAAACTCTTGGCCTGCCACAGACATTTCATAAATGTTCTAAAGTTATAATGAAAGAGCTACAAGAACTATCTGCAGCAAAATTTGATTTACATGTTTGGTGTCGGTACATAATGCATGAGTAGCCTGTTCGGGAACAGCAGGAATAAGAGATTTTTCTGGGATGGGCCTTCTCAGACCACTACTTTGCTCCTGTAGGGGCCTCACATCACCACTGGGTTAGGGGGTCAGTCCTTAGCATGCAAGGTCATGGTTATAACTGGGGTCATGAGAGCTCCATGACCACCAGTGTCACTACCACCACCCTCACCATCACTATCACACCCACCTTCATCACCACCATTACTGTCATTACCAAAACCACTCCCTCCACTGTCACTACAACCATGTACACCGTTTTCACTCACCAGTACCATCATCACCACGGCAACATAAGGGCATCTAAACCTGTGGAGAATTTTTATGAGTTTATTTGAGCCAAACAGAAGGCATGCCTGGAAGCAACATCTCCAAAGAGTCAGAAAAATGCTTTCCAGAGTGGCAGTGTGCAGTTTCCTTTATATATTTGGACTTAAGGAGGGAAGGTAAGGATGATTGCATGAACATGGGAGGAAGAAAGGCAGGGAAATCTCTTGGATTACAGGATAGTTAACAAGATTATGTGCTCCCTTGAGGAAAACATTTATCCGGCCCGCCGGGTGTTTTTGCCGCCGCTGCCTGTCCTGCTTAGCAGCCGACTCGTCCCGGGCCCACAGTGCACATGTGTGGAACAGTGAGGGACAGTGAACTGGCCCCCTGTTTAAAAAGTTTGAGGACCTCTGGTCTTGGTCATTGCCAGCACCTGATAAGAGAATTGATCCACAGGGTGGCCCTGAAGGACTCCAACCTCCATGATAAAGCAGAATGGTTGTGTCAAAACAGGAATAGAGAAGGGATGGAGCTGACAAAGAAGCCGTATTTTAGGCCATTGTGTTTCCTCTCCTGTTAAACTATTCCATGATTATTAATTTCTTATTGCTAAAGTAAAGTATAAAATTTGGAATTACAGAAGTTAAACAGAAGAAATTTAAAATCACTCACAATGCCATTCTCTTATTGACATTTATAATTTCTTTACATGTGATTTTCTGTATTTTGCTCCAGTTCCTGCTGTTATCATAATGCTACGTCACGGTGGCTTTCCATGTTATTTTAATAGCCTCCTACATTATTTTATTTATAATATTGAATTATTTTCATTACACATATTTAAATGCTGCCTTTCCTTCCGCTGACACTTTATGAAACCAATTAAACTCTTTTGCTATATTTTTCCCATCGGTGCCTTTAGCATCACTTTTGGGTGACTTAACCGATTTGCAGAGCACTTATCTTTGCTAATGTGCACTGGGACTTTTATCCTAAACCTCGGCTGCCCATCAACATGACTTGATAAGAGCGCTTTTTACATATAAAAATGATATTCTCAGGGCAAACTCTGCTACATTGTGTTTTAAAGTCTTCTTTGAAAGGCTCATTCATAGAGATAGATGGCTAGTACTTCCATTATTCTCTCCTCTAGAATAACGTGACTAGGAATGCAAGTATTACAATTTCGATAATTAGATATAAATAAAAGTTTATGCACAAGTCTTCAGTTTCAACAAATGCTAGGCCATGGGGGAGGGGGGGGGAGTGACTTCCTTTTTTAAAATATGAAATACCTTCACTTGGTTCAAAATGGAAATTTTGAAAGGGCAGAATGGGAACTGTCTCCTTGCTTCTGGAGAATGCTGTTTCCCAGCCTCTCAGTTTGCAAAGGCAACAGGTGTTATGAATTTCTCAGGTAACTTCCAGGAACGTTTTATGCCAATACGAACTCATTATACGTATACGTGCATTTGAGGCACTTATTATGTTTGTGCAAAGGCCTGTATGACCCTGTGTATGCTCAAGTGCGCACACACGTAAATTGTAGAGAATAGATAACATTTGTGTAAAATAGAGATGGTTTCCCTGTGATGTAAATACATTAGAACTATATGTACATATATTTCTAATTGCATATAATGTTAGCAACTTCTTTATTATCGCCCCTATTATACAAATGTTAGCATACATATGTCTTCCCTTTGGTTATCTATCTTCTTAACAGCACACCTTTAAGACAACCTCTTCTCTCCCTTTCATTAGGGAACTTGTCAAACATATGCTAATTTAGTGACAATAACATCATGAAAACCACAGGCCCTTCCCCAGCTCTAAAAAAAAGCCCAATTTCATCTCGTGTTTGTTCCCACTCACTCCCCAAACCTCCCCAGATATCTTGACATAAATTCTGTGTTACATTATTTCACCTGCAATATTTTTAGTGCATATCTCCAAAAGATCAGTATTTAAACATAGCCCTGTTATCATATCTATAGCTTCCTTTGGAGCAGTCATCTGAGTTGACAGGTGAGGAAAGAGGGAACTTATACCTATGGAAAAGGCACAATCATTCTTTAGTGTCATTACATCTCCAGTCTTTTTAAAAAATCACTTGTTGGATTTAGGGTCCAGTAAGACACTGAAATTTGTTACGTTTTTGCCCCTTTTAATGTATGTGCACTGTTGTTTTTTTTTAAAATATATTTTATTGATTTTTTACAGAGAGGGAGAGGGACAGAGAATTAGAAACATTGATGAGAGAGAAACATCGATTCAGCTGCCTCCTGCACACTAGCTACTGGGGATGTGCCTGCAACTGAGGTACATGCCCTTGATGGGAATCAAACCTGGGACCCTTTAGTCCGCAGGCCGACGCTCTATCCACTGAGCCAAACCGGTTAGGGCTGTGCGTGCTTTTTACTGGACAGTGGGTTCTGTGAAGCTTCCCAGGCTGGATGGTTCGGGTGGCAATAGACTAGGAGTTTAAATTCCAGCAGGATTCCCAGCAGGGGTGCTTGTGTTCCTCACCTGTTGGGCTGTGAGCGGTTTCCTGTAAGCTACTCTGCCCCGATCAGCCTTGCAGGAGCCTGCCCTTGGGGTGATTTCCTACGTGTGGAGTTGTTGAGTCAAAAGATGGGCAGACAATCTAACAGGAGTGAGAAAGCTCATGTCCAAGGTGATCTGGCGGGTGGCATGGCGACAACTGTGAGCAGCACATTGACTGTTGTCCTTGTTGCTGTGGGACTGAATCCAGGAGAAGGGAAGCTGGAGACCTTACTACTGAAGCTCTGGGCATGCCATTGCAAGGCCTCCCCCAGGGCTCCCATGTATTTCTATTTTACTTATTATAATAGAGTAGTAGGTTTAAAATGTATTCATTAAAAAATAATTTTTTTTAGATTTTAGGTGACATAAAAATTTGTTATGTAGTTATTACTTTATGTACCTTTGTTTTCCTTTTACTCCCCCCCCCCCATGTCATAGAATGTCTTTTTATTTTTCAATTAATTTACATTCAATATTATTTTGTATTAGTTTCAGGTTGACTGAAAAGTAGTGTCCCCTCAATATTTCTGGTGCCCACCAGGCCCCATATATTCAGATCACAGTACCACTGACTGTATTCCCTACACTATCATCTACAAATAGTCAGTGCGCACCCGATTGGTGATGCTTAGACGTTGACGGGCAAGTAGTGTTCTAGGCGTACACTGGCCACACATGTTCTCTGCATTAAACATGCCTTTACATCATTCCTTTTGAATTTATTCAACTAACTTGTTGAAATAATTCCGATGAATTGGAATTGCTCTGGCTAAAAACACTCAATTTATATCCCGATTCAAAACTTAGCATTCCTCCTCATCATAGGTCCTTCTCATTAACCTGCTCCCAGTGTTTGAGAATTCAAACTACACAACATTGTTCAAAACTGTAGAATATTAGGTGTCAGTGTCTTTATTCTGCTCACTGATAGAGAAATTATTCATCACTGCTCAACAAAATCATTATGCTCAACACTTAATCACTTGTTTCATTTTATTTTTTCCAGTTTCCTTGCATTTTTAGTTTCTGTGACTGGTTTTTAAGAGCTTGTTTATGACTAAAGATGCTAACCATTTCTCATGCATTGCAAATGAAATACCATGTTTTTTGTTAGTATTTTACTCTGGTGTTTTACTTTTTGGTTGTATCAAACTTGTGTATTAAATATAATCATGTTCTGTGGTTTTGTTTTTTTAAAAAAAAGATGGGCAGAACTTACAGGGTTTTGGTAAACATCAGCCCTCTGGCTGCTAAACTCTGTGACCACCAGAAACTGATCTCCCCGTGGCTTACTCATTCCAGGAACCCTCGCCGCGCCACGCTCTGCTGGAGCGTCCCAGACTGTCCCTGGTGTCTCAGCGCTATGGGGGGCAGGTGCCTGCCCCTGCTCTCAGGTGAGTGGGAAAAAGAACCACCTCCCTCTTCTCCCCATGACCCCATGTCCGTCCTAGTTTCGGTTGTTTCCCCACATTTGGCACTTTCTCCAGAAATGACTGTGCGCCTGTCCTATTAGAATCTTTTGAGTCTTAGCTGGTGTTATGCAAAGAGCCGAGGCTCAGAAAACCTCAGTGCCTGGTTCTTGGATTCCCCAAAGAAGTAACCCAGAGGACGCGCTGTGAAATGTGAAAGAAATGGGTTTATTGGGACTTATATGCACAACAGTGGGGCTGATCTGAAGCTCACTGCCACACCGGCTGCCACCATGAAGTTGAACCACCAAGTCCCATCTGGGGGCGGCCGGCAGGTGCTATTGTTCCACCATCACCCGGACTTTCCCAGCACAGAAAACAGAGGCAAACAGGCACACAGAGGGAGGGGATGCACTTCTGAGCAAGCTGTGTGAGATCAAAACTGCTGGCTGTTTTCTTGACTGAGTAGCTGGCCAGGCTCCCAAGGTCTCACAGTTCTTACCGATGGCCTTCATCGTCTTCCCTCAGGGTGGAAGGGGGAGCCACAGCCTGGGAAGGGGCTCATGTTCCCCTTTCCCATACATCCCAACCCAACATGGGTACCTTCCCTCTCCACTCCCCTACAATCTGCCCGTTCTATCTTCCGCACATACCCTGGGGAGGGAGGAGGAGACATCACATTCATATTTTACAGCAACAATATAACATAACAGTAAAGGAATAACAGACTTACACATACTAGTATCAGTGTATAAAGCAGATCCCCAGGCCCAAGACAACTTTCCAAATCATGCTGAGACAGGACCATTCTGTCGGGTTCACTGGATTTGTTTCCAAGGCAGCCCAGAGGGGGACCCAACAGCCTGAAACATTGGACCCGGGGACCCCTTCATCAGCCCACCTTGCAGAGCTGTTAGCCTGCACTGAATTCAGGAGAATAAGGCAAATGTTCAGTAGACACCAACAGAACCACATCGGTACCAGTGGGTAGTACACAGGCCATCGCTCTATCCTGTGTAAGAACAGTGGCTCGTTCAGGTGTCTCCCTGGCCTCCTGTACCATCCCTTTGACTGGCAATGTCCCCTGGCCTGGAATGCTAGCTGAGAGAGGAGGAATACACATCTGCCAGCTGGAATAGCAGTCAGTCACTTACTAGTTATGGGCAAGACCCTCCCCCAAGGGGCTAGGAGAGCGCACCAGCGGGTACCAGTTTGCGTTTCCCAGGGCCAGGCTAATACACTAGCACTAGGGTTATGTCCTGGGGTGCTGGCAGCAACAGGCTCTTCTCCGCTCCCCAACAAGGTTTTGTCTCAGCATCCTGTTCGTTGTTCGAATCTGCGCTCTCGGTGGGCCACCCACCTTTGCTGCTGCATCTGGAACGCTGCAGGTTGATCTGGTCGGGGCTTTTCATTCCTGGTTAGTAGTAAGTCAGAGTCATGGGGTCCATCCTGGTAACGACCCGTCCTCAGTTTTCAGGGCATTTTCCAGAGTTCGTTATAGCGTTCTACCAGCCCAGCTCCTGCTGGACTGCAAGGGCGGCGCAGTCGCCGTTCAGTGCTGTGGCTCTCAGCTCAGTCTTGCACGTGACGTCCGGTCATTGCCAGCAAGGGACACGGATGCTGCTCGGCACCACAGAACAGCCTTGACAAGCTGCAATGTCAGTCATTTCCAGTGGGAGGCCCCAGGCTTCAGCTGTTGCTCACAGGGTTTTTTGACCGGTATGTGTCATTTTCCTGTGTAGCCAGGTCTTCTGCTGGGGCCTCTGCTGGGAGCAAGTGCATTCGCTTCACCATTCCCTGGACATATAATGATGGATGTCCTGTGACACGATATACGTCAGCCCACATGGTTTGTCCCCACGGGGGTCTGTTGCTGATAGTCCAGTCCTGAGCATGCCACTCAGGGGGCTGTCCTTTGCATGGGGCGTCAGGTGGCACTGGAACCACACCTGCCCTCACCGGCGAAGGGCCAATAGGCTCTCCTTTGAGTGTCTTTTCAGCCTCTCCTTCTGACACCAAGGTGACTGGCCCCAACAGCGCCTGCCATTCCTGGCTAAGTGGGGACGTTGAATGGACCTGTCTCTGCCGCAGGTAAACACTCCATCTCATTAACGCCTGTGTCTGTGCTGCGCCCGATTTTCAGGGTGTGAGACACGTTATGCAGCCACCCCATGATGGGATAGGTGGTCCGCACCGTTACAGCAAAGCTTCCAGGCATAGGCTGTTGCCTGCAGGGGGTGGTAGGTGGCACTGAGCTGTTTCTCTATTAGGCTGTATCTTTCTTCAGCCCCTTTCCACACCTGGGACCAAAATCCTTTTGGGAGGCGGAGTCTCCCCTGTCGCTGCCAGAGACCCCATGACACCCCCTCCTGGGTTACATGTGCATCCAATTTGCCAGGTAGGGCTGGATCATAGATACCAAACGCCTATACCTGTTTACCTGCTCTTTTGCCTCAAAAGCCCGCTGGTGCTTATCCTGCCCATCCCACCATTGTCCTCTCCTTATAAGAGCATACAAAGGTTGCAGGTGCACTATTCTACAACACATCCTCTGAACACTGTTGCCATGACAATTAAGTAATACTCACTTATTAAGAGTTTCAGAATTCTAGAGGGATCAGGTAAGAAAACATACAAATGCCTTGTATTGCTTATAAAGGTGTAATTTACCAAACTGCTCTAAGGAAAAAACAAGGGTGCTTATATCTGGAAAACAAAGCATTTTTTTAAAAAATCAGCATTTTTAACAAAGTCATAAAACAATAATTATTCTCAGTTCATTCAGGCCTATATAATCAATTCTTCTTTATCCAGATCATGTCAGTTTTTCCATAAATCCTGATCTTGCAAATTTATTCTCAGAAAACTCTATTTTAGAATAAGTCACAGTTTTTTTCCATGGATCGTTAAGATGAAATCTCTTTGCAAATGCATCAGGGTAAAACAGTGACTGAGAATGACAAAACTTAAAATGGCATAGTTATATCTGATTAAAATGCAATTGACAAAGAACTCTGCTTTTCTGTAAGATGTAACATCCCAAAATAACAATTTGAATGTAAAAGTGTGCCATATTCTCCCAACCCCCCCCCCCCCCCAATACCCCCATCCCGCATGCTGCTCCGGCACAGGGCTGGGGGGCAGCCCTGATCCCTCAAGTCCCGGGACCACAGCAGCCTCTGAGTCTCCAAAAGGAAGACTCAAGGTGTTCAAAAGACTAATTTAAAATTGCTCCTTCATTTTGCCAGTGGCACTTCCACGCCACTGTTACCAGGACTGAAAGCGGTCCTGCTGGCGTTTTCTGGATCTCCCCAGAAAGCTCACGTGGTGGTCCCCTCATACCACAGGGAGCTCCTTGTCCAAAGTGGGGTTCCCCACACTACATTTCACACTGCCTCCCATCCACCCTCTTCACCTGCCTTTAGCTCTACAGGAATTTCTCTGGAATCCAACCTGCCCACTAAGCCAGTTGTTATGCAAAGTGCTGAGGGCGAGATCCGAGAAAACCTTGCCTTTGGTTCTTGGATTCCCCCCAAAATAACCAGAGGACTGGCTGTGAAAGACGTGGGCTTATTATGACTTATGCCATGGCCAGTGCTATTGTTTCACACCACTCAGACTCTCCCAACACAAGGTTTTATGGAAAAACAGGACCTGCAGGGGGTGGGGATGTGCTAATGCCCACCGCCCCCACCAGCTGCGTGTGCTCAAAACTGCTAGCTGTTTTCTTTGAGATGCTGGCCAGGCTCCCAAGGTCTTACAGTTCATAGTCTTCCCACAGGATGGGAGGAGCTAGAACATGGAAGGGGCCCAATTTCTCATTTACCGCTCCCTTGCTCAACCCCAAACCAGAATTGAGACAATGATTGGGCCTAAGCAGATCCCAGGTGGCACAGGGAGGGAGTGGAGTGTCAGAGAGGGGAGAGGTGGGACTGAAGAGCATGTTAATGAGGGGTTACTGCTGGGGTAACCACCACTCAGTCCTGCTGGGGACCCTTCAGGAGGCTTTGTGTAATGTGCCTTTGAAGGGCAAGAAGTCTGAGCTATCTATTCTTCAGTCCTCATCTGAAACCGCAAAAAATGACCCGTGTCTCATCCTGTGGGTGGACAGTCAAGGGTGTAACTAGAGCTCTAAGAGGACACGGGCCAGAGTCTGTTTTGTTCCATAGGCAGGGATAGGCCCAAGGGTTGTTTTCTGCAGCTGCAAATGAAGATATATCCTTCAGAGGCACATTGCATTAAAGAGTTAGATGCTGCTGGAGCAAAGGCAGTCTTTACTAGCCAGTCCGGACAGTCTCCAGCAAGGTTTTCCTGAAAGTAGTCCCAATATTTTAAAGGAGATGTGGGCCCTGGTTGGTGTTGCTCAGTGGTTAGAGTGTTGGCCTGGGCACTGAAGGGTTTCGGGTTGGATTCCTGGTCAAGGATATGTATGTGGGTGCGGGAGGCAACCAATTGATGTGTCTCTCTCACATCGATGTTTCTCTGTCCTCCTGTCTCCCTTTCCTCCCTTTTCCTCTCCCCCTCCCTTCCACTGTCTCTAAAAACCAATGGGAAAAATATCCCTGGTGAAAATTAACAAAAATAAAAATAAATCAAGGGAGATGTGGGGGTTCACAACTGTTGGGATCTCCAGGAAACCAAGTATTTGTAGTGCTGCAAGAGAGTGGTGAATTCCTTTCCTTAGGAACATGGAGGCTATTATTTCCACTGTTCAGTAATGTTTATAGGTTTGCTAACACAAGGAGGGGGTTGTGAAGGAGAGTGGCTTTTGCTATTCGCACTGGAAGCTAAGCTGATGGGTATATGGTAGGAGCTCCCAAGCTTTGCTGCCTTAACAGTACAGGGTGGGATGGAGGAAAAAAATCTCAACAGGAAAAATTGAGGGTCACTATGGTCTAAGCCAGTAGTAGGCTTAGAATGACAAGTCCAACCAGGTGACAGATAAGCCAAAGAAGCCGTAACTTGGGAGAAGCCTATCAAGGCATTATTTGTCCAGGCAGATGCCCGCAGAGCTGGAGAGCATAATAGGAAGGGAGCCCTGACCAGTTTGGCTCAGTGGACAGAGCGTCGGCCTGAGGACTCAAGGGTCCCAGATTCGATTCTGGTTAAGGGCATGTACCTTGGTTGCTGGCACATCCCCAGTGGGGAGTGTGCAGGAGGCAGCTGATCGATGTTTCTCTCTCATTGATGTTTCTAACTCTCTATCCCTCTCCCTTTCTCTCTGTAAAAAAAAAATCAATAAAATATATATATATTTTTTTTTTTTAAAAAAGAAAGAAATAGGAAGGGTGACATTGTTACCTAGCTTTAGCCAAGGTCTGTCACTGGAAAAGGCATGTCAGATCCCCTTCAGGAATGCAAATCACTTCTCTGAACTGGAGTTTGGTGTATCCAGGCTTTCACTCCTGCGAGCTACAGCCGTCCACTGGTTGTTGTTCTGGTCCTTGGGTCCTCTAAGTCTTCAATCTGTCCCCAGCTAGAAGCGGAGAAGGGGGGGGAGGGGGCGGAGGCAGAGGTTCCTCTGTGGGAAAATAAGAGCTGGAAAGAACAAACTTAGGCAAGGTTAGCAAAACTAGCCCTACGTGTTAAACAGTGTCTAATTTCTGTATCCGTTCTAAGCCAGTGGGGGGAGTCCCTAGAACAGAGGTTCGGGTTTCCCATATACAATTTCAAAATGGTTCAGTTTGAGCCCACATCTAGGGGCTACCCTGATCCCGAATAGGCAATAGGAGGCACCTGGTCTCGTTGCAAATGTGCCTCCTGACAGCTTTGCCCAAGTTTTCTCCAAGGTGTGGCTCATGTCTGTTTCCCAGTTCCAGTAGACAGGGGTTCAGGACCCCTGTACTCTCCATCAGACCTGCAGTGCTTGACTGACTTTCTAGGTGACTTCAGATATAAATGATGGCTGTTCTGAATACTGTTAGGGAGTCCGAATCTGGGAATTAATTCCTTGAGTTTTCACCACTTCAGTCACCTTTTCAGTTCGAGTCAGGTATGCCTCAACCCATCCGGAAAAGTTTTCTACAATAACCATCAAGTATTTGAAATTCCCGGTGGTTTTAGGCAAATTGGTAAAGTCAATCTGACAATCTTCGAATGGGGCATGTTCCTTTGTATTGTTCCCCCTTCTCGGCTGGGTTGCGTTCTATCTTGGGGTTATTTCTAGCATCTAATTAGCAACCCTGAGTTATTTTTTGAATAGTCTTCTGCAAACTGGGTCCCTTTAAGTAAGGCCAGATTAAATCAGCCAGTGCATCCCACCCATAGTGCATTCCTTCATGCAGATGTCTCAGGACTGGGTATACCAGAGCTTTGGGCATCGCTTCTCCATCAACAGCTAGTGTCAGTGTTAGCAAACCCCCACTCATGGCCTATTCTTTGCCTGGCCCTGTGTAAGGAGGAGGTTTCAATTCTGTCAAGTCTAAGTGGGGTGTTAGAGCCCCAATTAAGGGAGTCTCTGGGGGCTGCTTGCTTTGCTGCTTTCTTGGCTTTTAGATTCCCTCTAGTTACCTGGGAATTGTCCTTCTGATGCCCTGGGCAATGCATAATGGCGGCTTTGAGTAGGCAGAGTAGGCAAATTACCGCCTTAAGTAAGGTTAGAGCCTCTTTTGGATATTTAATGTCTGTTCTCCAAAGTTAGAAATCCTCTTTCTTTCCATATTGCCCCATGAGCACGTATGGCATGAAAATAAGTTTAGAGTCAGTACATATACTGAGCCGTCTGTCCCGAGACAGTTCCAGCGCCCTGGTGAGGGCACTCACCTCAGCTTTTTGTGCTGAGGTGCCTGTGAGTGGGCATGTGCCTCCATTACCTTGCCATTGGTCACCACCGCATACCCGGCTTTTCTTTATTTTCCATGAAGCTGCTTCCATCAGCGTGTAAGTCCCAGCAGCTGATCTGACAAGTCTGGTCACCTGGGGTAAACCTGGTCAATAATTTCTAAACAGTTATATGGAGGTCCCAGCCTGCCTTCACAGTTGGGAGTGGCTGGGTCCTACAGAGTAACATTTGGTGTCTGCAAGGCGACATTTGGGTTCTCTAACAGGATGGCCTGGTTTGTGCCCATTCATCCAGCCTTTAACCAGGAGCCCCCTTTCTGCTCTAGCAGGGTTAGCACCTGGTGGGGCGTGAACTCTGTGATGGTCGGTCCTAGGGTAAACCCTTCTGCTCCCTGAAGGACATTTCAGGCTGCCGCTGCCGCCCTGAGGCAGGGAGGCCATCCTTGGGTGGTATGATCTGATTTCTTAGAGAAACACGCATTCGGCTTTGGGGAGTTCGGGGAGTTTCCCACTATCTGGACAAGCGCTCAGAGTCCAATGCCCCGCCCTTCTTTTTTTCTTTTCTTTTCTTTTTTTTCTGCCCTTCATGTATATAAACTTGAAAGCCTGCTGAGGGTCAGGCAATCCTAATGCAGGGGCTGAGGTTAATTTTCCCTTTGGTGTCTCAAAAGCCCTCTGACATCCTGTGTCCAATTCCAGGGGTGGGCTATGTCAAGCCCTTTCTAAGAATCATAGAGTGGCTTAGCTATTGGCCCAAAGTTAAGAATCTACATGTGACAGAATCCTGCCATTCCAAGAAGCTCTCAGAGTTGTCTCTGGTTCTCAGGAGGCTTAGGGGCAGCAATGGCTTCTTTTTTGGTCTGCCATAAGACTTCTCTTCCCTATTTTTTTTTTTTCCAACAAAGATTCCCCAAAGACTTACTTACTTACTTACTTACTTATTTATTATTTTTGTTACTCCTCACCCGAGGATATTTTTTCATTGATTTTTTTAGAGAGATTGGGAGAGGGAAAGACAGAGAGAAATATCAATGTGAGAGCAACACATCGATTGATTGCCTCCTGCACGTACCCCAACCAGGCCTGGGCAGGGGAGGATCCTGCAACTGAGGTACGTGCCCTTGACCGGAATTGAACCCAGGACCCTTTGGTCCTCAGGCGGATGCTCTATTCACTGAGCCAAACCAGCTAGGGCTTCTCCCATGGTTTTAAGTTGAACCCTAAATAAGACACTTCTTGTCCGCAAATCGGAGTCTTGAGGGAAAACTTTATATGCACAGGATGCAAGATGGTTAAAGGCTTTGGTAGTATTTTTTATTTTTTAAATATATTTGTATTTATTCCAGAGAGGAAGAACGAGAATCATTGATTGTCTACCTCCTACACAAGTCCTACTGGGGATCGAGCCTGAAAACCAGGCGTGTGAACTGACTGGGAATTGAACCATGATCTCCTGGTTCATAGGCTGATGCTCAACCATTGAGCCACACCAGCTGGACTGGCAGAGTCTTTTAAACAAGTCTCATAAGAGTTGCCAGTAGAGTCCAATTATAGGTCTCTCAAGTCTTAGGCTAGCAGTTCTCTGAAAACCATGGGAGAGTTCTTAAATCCCTATGGCAACACAGCCCAACAATGCTGGGTAGTAGTTTTACTCACTGGGTTCTGCCATTTGAAGGCAAAGTAATTGCGCCTGCTTGTCAATTGGAATACAAAAGGCATCCTGCCCGGCTGGTATGGCTCAGTGGTTGAGCATCGACCCATAAACCAGGAGGTCATGAGTGATTCTGTTCAGGGCACATGCCTGGGTTTCCGGTTCAATCCCCAGTAGAGGGTGTGCAGGAAGCTGCTGATCAATGCTTCTCTCTTATCATCGTTGTTTCTATCTCCCTCCCCTTCTCCCTTCCTCTCTCTGAAATCAATAAAAAAACCCACAATTTATTTATTTATTTTTTTAAATAAGGCATTCTTCAAATCCAAAACAAAGAACCAACTACTGTTCCCTGGCATAGCTATCAACAAAGGGTTTGGGGTTGGGGTCAGATGGATGAATGTCCTGAGTAATTTCATTAATAGCCTGTAGGTCCTGGACAAAATGGTATTTGGCTTCCTAATGGGCAGGATTGGTGTATTATATGGTGATCTGCAAGGCCTAATGAATCCAGCTTTTAGAAATCCTGCAGGATGGTTGTGACGCTTCCTTTTTCAGTGGGTAGTTTTCTCCTAGGCACAATTGTTTCTTCCTTTAACTGAACAGATACTGGAGAAAGATTTTCTGCTGGCCCCGATCCTGTGGGCCCACAGGGTCTTACTTGCTCAGAGATTTCGGGTGGGAAAATTCCTCTGGGGGCCTCTGGTTTCAGCAAGAAACATCAGGAGCGTTAGTGTGTGTTCCGGGGGCACCTGCAGGGGGAGCTGCTGCTTCTTGGACAGAAAGTCACTAGAGCAGGGAACTTGCAAAGCAAATCCCCACCCAACAGAGGAGTCAGGCAGCCTGGCATGTGAGGAGAGCGGTGAGTTAGCTTTCGGCTGGCCTCCCGCCAGCATTCTAGGGGCTTAAGGCAGCGGTTCTCAACCTGTGGGCCGCGACCCCTTTGGGGGTCGAACGACCCTTTCACAGGGGTCGCCTAAGACCATCGGAAAACACATAGATAATTACATATTTGTGATGAATCACTATGCTTTAATTATGTTCAGTTTGTAACAATGAAAATACATCCTGCATATCAGATATTTACATGACGATTCATAACAGTAGCAAAATTACAGTTATGAAGTAGCAACGAAAATAATTTTATGGTTGGGGGTCACCACAACATGAGGAGCTGTATGAAAGGGTCGTGGCATTAGGAAGGTTGAGAACCACTGGCTTAAGAAAAGCTTGCTTTCCAGGGTTTTCCTGAAACCCCCGACGCTGCCACGGAGGTGGATGGAGTAAATCACTCCGTGTCCACAAGGAAGTCTATGGGTTGGTTCCCTACTCTCAGTTGTACCCGGGGCCCCTGTGGGGAGATAAGAACAGGGCCGGGTATATCCAAGGGAGCCCCTGGGTCCCGTCATTCCTCATCGGAGTCGGAATCCCCATGCCATGCAATCATGTTTCTACGCTGATTCCTGTATTCTTTCAGAGCTAGTCTAGGGCATTCGTATTTCCAATGCCCTTCCTCCTTACAATAAGCACATTGGTTTGGGCCTAGAGGCCTCCTCCACTTCGTTTGTCTCTGTCCCCATCCAGGCCCTAAGACAATAATAGTCGGCTTCGGCACTTGCATCTTCCTGCTATAAGACATGGCAATATTGACCAACTGCTGCGGTTTCATCCCCAATGTTCCCGTCAGCCCTAGAAGCTTGTTCTTAATGTGTGGGACACTCCCTTGGACGAAGGCCAGATTGACTAGCCACACATTTTCAGATGCTTCGGGGTCTATCTTTGTGTATTTCCGGATGACTTGGTAAATTCTCTCTAGAAAGTCAGCAGGATCCTCGTCAGGTTTTTGCTGTATTGCCAGTACCCTGTCTAGGTTGTTTTTCTTAGTCACCCCTTTCCTTAAGCCTTCTAGTATGCACCTCCTGTAATGCTCCAGGTGCACTAGGCCTCCGCTGGTTAGATCCCAGTGAGGCTCTACAACAGGCACTGCCCCTGCTGGGAAAGGGGTTCTGCTGGGGTTCTCTGCATAAAGCCGATAGGCTTCCTCTATGGCCTTATCTCTTACTAGTTTTCTCTCCTCACTTGTTAGCAGGATGTTCAGAAGCACCTCGACATCGGCCCAGTTAGGTTGATGGGTTGAGAAAACATATGCAATGAAATCAGTTGTTTTCTCGGGGTCCTCTTGGTAAGAGGCATTAACACTTTTCCAACTAAGTAAATCCGAAACTGAAAGTGGGGTATGGGCCCAGTAATACTCCCTCGGCTGGCCCATTTGATTCATGCCTCCAGTTGGCAATTGTCTCGGCAGACATGGCACTGCTCCAGTCTGGGGAGCCGCTGGTCCGCATTGGGTGCCCTGTGAGGTCCTAGAAGGGGAGACTGTTTGCTCATCACACGAAGGAGGGGCCTTGGTGGCCTGCGTTCCCTGATTTCTAAGATCTACTGGGGTCTGTGGGGGCGGCAACGGTGGATAAACGCCACCTCCCTGCCTTGGTGACCCTGGGTTCCGGGAGGCCGAAAGAGCCCTTTCCTCATTCTTTTTCCCCTCCTGCGTCTTACTGTCTGCAAGGGGAGGCTTTGGCTTACTGTCTGCAAGGGGAGGCTTCGGCTTACTGTCTGCAAGGGGAGGCTTCGGCTTACTGTCTGCAAGGGGGGGCTTCAGAGAGCTTCCCCATGGAACCTTTAACATATTGTCCACCTTGACTGCATCATTCTTCTTGTGCAGACGCATAAAAGCCTCTATATAACATAGTTCACCCCATTTCCCAGACCTCTCACAGAATGACCGTAACTGCAAAATAGTATAGTAATTCAAAGAGCCATTCAGGGGCCATCGCTCTTGGGACTCCAAAACATACGTAGGCCAGACCTTATTACAATAGGAAATCATTTTCTTCTTTGTCATTGGCGGATATCCATAGAGATGCCAATTCTCTAATATGCGGCCGAGGGGGCCGTCTTTCGGGATGGACTGCGTTGTTCCCATAGTTACTAGCCAAGGGCAGAACCAGTGGACTGGGAAGGACGCAGTTTTACCAAGTAGGGCTGCCCCTGCCTAGAAACACAAACAGGAACACGATCAAGAACCCTACACAATCTACACAACTGTGACAGCAGCAGCGTCACCCCGGAGGCTGAGCACCCTGAGCCAGCGGGTTTCTAGTCTTTTACCCGTAAGCTCCTGGGTAAGTTGGGGACTTTCCACATCCGTTGCAGTTTGGGCAGTTGGCTGATGCAAGAAACCAGCGCTGGCGTAGTTACAGTGGTGCAAGCAAAGGAGGTTTATCTGCTCTCGACTTGCCTTCTCACCATCAGAGAAGCATCCAGAACCCAGAAATCCAAATACAACCAGACCAGAGCAAGTACTCCTCACAGACCCCCGTACAAGGGGAAGGGGGACTGAGTGTTCTCACAAAGCCTTGCCACCCGCCAAGTGGCGCCAATTGGTTCCCACGGAACCCCAGATGCATCAAATGAACCCAGATGGCAGGGGGGAGCGGGTTTCTGGTCCTGCCCACCAGGCACTTTTCCCAGTCAGCCCGCAGTAACCCGTTTCCTCCCCTCAGCTGGGCGTCATAGGCGACTGGCCCAGGAAAGAGACAGTCCCCGGGTAAAGTCACCCGGCAGCTGCTGGGGACTCTCAAAATCTCAGCCCCCGGCGGCCAAGGGGACCCCCTCCGAAATCTGGGGACTTACCGGGGGCTCCCACTTGCTCCTGGCTATGGCTCGTCAAGTCTGCAAAGAAATGACCGGAGGCCAAGTCCGGTTCTGCCTGTCGCCAAACTCAGAGACACGTGCTGGGGTGAAGGAAAGGAGTTTTATTCCAGTTGCCAGCAAGTGGGGAGTCGGGAGACTTTTCTTGTCCTCAAACACCCACCTCACCGCACAGTGCAGGCGGGATTTTATGGGGGGGAGAGGGTGAAACCGGAACAAAGAGACCAGGGGAGGGGCTGTAGGGCTGCAAAGGCCGCGCCCCCAGAGAAGAGGGTCTGGAAGGAGGAGGGGCTGAGGGAGTGTGGCTTCCCTTCCCAAGGTTTATCTCTGCCACGGGCCTGATCTCTCAGGCTTTGTAGTTTTGGTTGCCGACTCCTGTGGGTTTTCGTGGCTGGCGCAAGGCATCCCCTCCTCCCCGAAATAAACTTCCCTCAGACCAGTGGTTCTCAACCTTCCTAATGCCGCGACCCTTTAATACAGTTCCTCATGTTGTGGTGACCCCCAACGATAAAATTATTTTCGTTGCTACTTCATAACTGTAATTTTGCTACTGTTATGAATCGTCATGTAAATATCTGATATGCAGGATGTATTTTCATTGTTACAAATTGAACATAATTAAAGCATAGTGATTAATCACAAAAACAATATGTAATTATGTGTTTTCCGATGGTCTTAGGCGACCCCTGTGAAAGGGTCATTCGACCCCCAAAGGGGTCGAGACCCACAGGTTGAGAGCCGCTGCCTTAGACTGTGAAAAAGGAGAGAGAATAACACAGGGTTTTATTGACATACTCTTTAAGAAACCAGAAGGTCGGCTACAGCCTCAAAACGGATAGAATGCAGAGCCTCCTTATCGCTTCATTGGAATGTTAATTTGTGGCTACAAATCTCAGGGCTGGACCCGGCGGCTAGGGTAACTCCCAACCATTTCTGGCTTGTCCCCAGGGGGCTGGAGAAAAATGGGATCTTACAGAGGGAGAAGGGAACCCCTCAGCGGTAGGATAAGGGGACAGACACTTCAAGGCTGCTACACTGATGACCGCCAAGAGGCTCCGTGCTCAGAGTACCTTCCTTTAGTAAGTTACAAAGACCTGGACTTACCCAGCCTTGGTCTCTCGGCGTTAGGGTCTTTGTGTGAGGGGGGAGGGCATGAGTAAGAACAGTGCCACGGTTGTCTAATAATTATTCACTTCACTAACTACAGATAAGAAGTTTTCTTTCGGACCCTGGAAACTGGAGGATGAAACAGGCCTGTAAAAGATAAGACACCCTAAAGCCCAGATGGGCCCATGACTCAAAAGAGAAATACATTTTGAGAACAGACCAAGCACAGGACACGCTTTGATTTGGTTGTTGTGCCCAGACCCTGACCCCCTCTGGGAGTTTTCCTCAGGAATGCTGACCATTCTCTGGTCCCAGGAATGGGCTGAGCTGTTTGTAACATCACATAGAACAAGCATGCCAGACTCAAAGGCTAACCCGGGCCAACTAAGCCAGTTTTAAGTTTATGAGGCTGCCGTCCCCCTCCCCCCCCAAAACCCCAAAAGTTTCAATTTTCATAGAAACGTAAGTTTATTTCAGTAGAGACATGCTGAATACAAAGGGCTGAAATAAATGAGTCATCGTTCGGGAGTATTTGTTGTGGGCCGCAAGTTTGACATACTTGTCATAGAAGATTAACCACCTTGTTATCAGGCTTGGAGCTTCTGAAGGCCGGACTGCAGACTCTACCCTCCCCTGTCCATGTTAGATTTGTAGCTCACAGCTGCACGTAGCGATCTTCTACCTCGTGTGTGTATATAACCAGCCAACTGGTAAGGGGGGTCAGAGCAGATTTTTGTGAGGGACCCACTGCTCTCCCCTACTGCCAACATCATTGGAATAAACGCTCATCTATGACGCAACCCTATCTCTGCCTAATTGGCTCAAGTAGTGACAGGCAGCCCGGACGCTTTGGTTGTCGGTTACATTTGGAGTAATAATAATAATTAAAAAAATACCATCGGATGAGTCAAATACTGGCTAGGAGTTTTGAAAGATCTAAGCAAGCATATTGAAACTGGACAACGAATGGGCCGGGGCTGCCTGTCACTAGCTGAGCCAATTAAATTGCAGAGTCAGGGTTGAATCATAGATGCGTGTTTATTACAATAAGGCCGGCAGTATGAGAGAGCAGCAGGTCATCCAAAAAAAAAAAAATCTGCTCTACCCCTCCCCATAAACTGCTTATATTGGGTGGAAGGACAAAGATTACATGGGAAAGTAGTAACTAGGCATGGGGAAGTAGGGAAGGTATAATGGTTACAGGTTGCAGGCAATGCGGGCTTGGGGGAGGAGTGGAGGGAGGGTCGAAAAGGATGGGCAAAAGGCGGGCGCCTCGGGACCCGATTGTTTCAGCAACAAAGTTGTTAATCTTTCCTTGATTACAGGCAGTTCTCAGAAAAGGAGATTATGTAACGGGACAAACAATGGGTCCTTCTGCTGTCACTACTCCAGCCAATGAAGCAGAGATAGGGTTGAATCAAGTAGGAGCGTTTCTTCCAGTACTGCCCGCAGCATGGGAGAGCAGCCAGTCAGCCACAGAAACCTGCTCTGCACCCCACCATGAGCCAGTTGCTTATACAGTGGGGCCTTGACTTAAGAGTTTAATTCGTTCTGAGACCGAGCTGGTTAAGGAGCTCGTTAACTCAAATTACTCTATCAACTCAATGCAAAAAATTGGCTGAGAGACAGCTGGTATCTCAAAAAACTCGTTAGTTGGGACACTCGTAAATCAAGGCCCCACTGTATAGTAAAAGTACAAAGGAGAAGTAGGCAAAAGGGCCGTTCACAGATATGCAAAAGGACTAGGGGTCTTTAAAGGGCTTAGTGATATGCAGGGGCTGGGGTTACACGGGGAAATAGCCGAAAGGAGTGCCAGATGGGCAGTTAACAGGTGAGCAGGCTGGAGGTCTGCAAAGGCCTGCAGGTGGGCAAAAGGGCTGGGGACCTTCAAAGGGCTGGCGATTCCGGTTTCTGCAGCAAAGTTGTTCATCTTTCCATGATAACAGGTAGCTCCAAATGGGGAGGAAGGGCGGCATCTCCTTGTCAGCTCCAACCAGGGTAGAATGTGCCTTCTTTCATCAGAATAAAACAATCATGGTTAACAGAGCAGGGTTAATGTTTCTCACAATACTAGCTGGTTCCCCAAATTCTATTGCTGCCCCCTTTCAAATAGACTGCATTCCGATGTTAGCTCCCATATCACAGGGTGTACAACTCTTAGCTTAGGATGTGCTTTCTCTAATCAGAATAGAACAATCATGGTTAACAGAGCATGATTAATATTTCTTATAATTATAGCTAGTCCTGTAACTGGACAAATGATGGGGGAGGAATTTATAACCTGATAGATAGAGCACCTGAATTAATCTGAAAAATAATCATATTAATTTTAAATCCTAGAATACATATACTTATGTGAACCGGGGGGGGGGGGGGGTAAGTTTTTCTAAATTTCATTTCTTAGGCCGGTGCAAAAGTGATTGAGGAGGTGACTCAGCTATGGACAATGTACCTACAATGGACCCAGTGTTAACGTAAAAAAAACAACCATTGAAACCTGAAAAAGAATTTTTGGGAGTTTATTTGAGTCAAACTGACGTCATATGCCAGGAAGCAGAACCTCAACGAATTAAGATAATGCTCCGGAGAATGGCGGGGTTACATTTGTATTTATATATTGCAATCAAAAGAAGGATGTAGGTGGGTTACATAAAATTCATTGGTGATAGATTAAGGAGGAGGGATAAAGCAAAGCAGGGAAACCCCTGGGATTGGATAAAAAGTAAAATGATGGACACATACTTAGGTGGGTGCAGGATCAATTAACATGATGATGAAGGAATTTGTGATATCTGTCCTGGGACCCAGCACATTTGGTTGTGCCCCAGGGGCTCCAGATAAAAGGAAGTCACCAGTTACCCAGACATTTCAAGGGTATGTTATCATAGATGCAAAAAGACAGATAGACTCAGTTAAGTTGACCTTGTCAGTGAAGATACTGGCCGAGGACGTAACTGCCCACCATAACTGCTTTAGTTAAAGTTTAATTTCAGACCATCTTCGTGATTACTTTAGGTCTCTGAGTTTGCAAGGCCGCCATGCAGGCCTCCCCTGAACTTGTCAGGTCAGCATGTGGCCCCTTTCGTCCATACCAGCAAGCAAGCAGAACCATTATGCATGGACTCCCACCAGGAGTCCAGACATCCTCTTATCACTTGATGACCAAGAACAATAGCTGAATTCTGGAGACCTCCAGGGCTGCAGGTAGCTGCATTCCATTCCTAGCCTCACCCTAGCCCATCCCCCTTTATAATCCTGTCCCCTGCACCTTGCCATAAAACAGGTTTTGGATGCTTGTAAGCTCCCTGTCTTCTTGGTTGGCTGGCCTTCTCATATTTGATTCAACTCTGCCTTCGTTATTGGACATTGCGACTGGCAGCCTGAGCCCACCTGGGGCTTCCCGGTAACACAATCAATGGGCCTGGGCTGCCTGTCACTACTTGAGCCAATTCAGCACAGTTGAATCATATATGAGTGTTTATTCCAATAATGCTGGCAGTATGGGAGAGCAGTAGATCGCCCACAAACATCTGCTCTGCCCTCCCCACCATAAACCAGCTACTTATGCTGAGTAGGACAAAGCTTACATGAGGAAGTAGGCAAAAGGGTATGCCAGATGGGCCATTCACAGGCCTGGAGATTTGCAAAGGCTTGAGGGTATGCAAAGGCTGGGAAGACACCGGCCTAGGACATGATTACCCACCACAAACTGGTTTTTAGTTAAAAAAAAAAAAAAAAAAAAAAAGTTTTAATTTCAGACCATTCTTTGTGGTTACTTTAGGTTTGTAAGGCCACCATGCAGGCCTTCCCTGAGCTAATAAAGTTAGCATATGGCCCCTTTTGTCCACAGTTGTTGTTGTTTTATTGGGGGGAGGGGGAGCATTCACAGGGAAATTGCTGATGTTTGAGTATTTTTTACTTACAGATGTTGTAATGTACCCCTCGAATCACAGAAGGATGCCCCAAGAAGTCGAATTAAAGAGTCACATTTATTGCAATCCAGGACTATGAGGGGCCATTTTGCTTTCCCAAATCTCATAGTAATAAGATGGTCGAAAAACCAGTTTATATAGGCAAAAATCACAAAGGTATTGATTACATCCCAGGGTTTGGAATAAGGAACCTGGTTCGCAAAAAGCAGTTTACAGAAGCAGAATTAAGCATGTTAATTACAGTTTTGGGTTTCCGAATCACTGAGTTGACAGAAACACATTATCTGGGACCGCTGGGTTGACAGGAACACATTATCTAGAGCCCTCGGGTCTTGAGACCACTGAGTTGCCAGGAATTCATTCTCTAGAGCCATCGAGGCAATTTAGAGTAATTGTGCTGTCCTGGTCTTGGGACCACTGAGTCAACTGGAACACATTATCTGTGGCCACTAAGACAACTTAGGATAATTGTGCTGTCCTGTTTCCCAGGTACAGAAGAATGTGCTTTCTAAAACCAGTAAGCTAACAATCAATGGGATAGTCATTCAATCGAATGGGATGATTTATACAATTCAGAAAATCAAAATAACTTTTCTATTGTTAAGCCAAACAACAGGATTAGAGTTAAACTACAGTTTCTACCTGAGATGGTTGCTACCATACTTCTCAGACATGGCCATGTCATATGATTCAGCCTAATAGTATTGTAAGTGGAGGTCAACTGAGTCCTGGGCTTGTGCTACCTGTCACCACCCAGCCAAAAAGAAGAGACAGGGATTGGATTATAAATGCATGTTTGATAATACCAGATGCTGGAAATCTGGGAAGGTGACAGGTTAAAACCCTAGCATCCACTTTCCCCTCAGGGAAAAGGAATGTGGGTAAGTACAAGGGGTTCTGGTGATTTGCAGTTCTGGAATTTGAGTCCCTGTAGGGGTCATGGGTCTTTTTCTTTTCTTTTAAAATAGATTTTCATTTATTTTGGAGAGGAAGGGAGAGGGAGAGTGAGAGATAGAAACATCAATGATGAGAGAGAATCCTGCATGCCCACCACTGGGGACCCAGCCCAAAACCTGGGCAAGTGCCTTGGCCAGGAATTGAACCCTGACCTCCTAGTTCATAGGTTGATGCTCAACCACTGAGCCACAGAGGTCGGGCAAGGGGTCTTGGGTTTTGATGAATGTCTTCCGTACTGGTCCCAGAACAGGATGGCCAGCATTTTGAAACTGGTCAAGCGGTGATCAGGTGTGCATCATCACATTGTTTCTGAGACCTACTCAGAGTTGTCTGCATTTCTGAGTTCATCTCCAACTTCAATATGAAGCTCTGTCTAGTCATATGGTAGACATTTTTAGGTCATCCTCACAATAGATCATCCTGAAAACATTCTGATTTGTTCCAAATTGGCCATAGTCTTGGACTCCTGGGATTCTTATGTTCTATGTGTTAGGTTAGGTGGCTCAGGAGGCGGCATAGGAAATAAAGAGTCCAGTGAATCAGAAAAGAAAGAAAAGGAAAGGTGTATTTCTGCGTCCCCGGGAGACCCACGTACCCCAAAGACAGGGCACATGGATTCACGCCAACAGGGAGGGGGGCGCTTTTTTTGTACTGCGGTTAGGTGAGGGGCGGGGACATGAGCTGAGGTATTCAGCTGAGGAAGGTTCAGCTGCAGGGGTCAGCAGGGTATTCAGGAAGGAGTCAGTATCTGTGTGGGGATCGGTGTTGATTCAGGGAGAAGAAGCCGGTATCTGTGTCTGGCCCGCTGATCTGTTAGAAATGCCAGGGGGAGTCCATTATCTCATCACATGTCTGCATGTATCCGATCCTGGGCTCTCTCCCGCCTAACACTATGCTATTTCACTCTCTCCTTATTCCAGAGAATGCACTGGTTATAAGAGGTTAAACCTGGGCTGTTCGTGTAGCTACTGAGCACTCGAAATAAGACCAGTCCAAATGCATACTGAATTTCAAAGGCTTAATACATACAGTAAAGAATGTAAAATACTTTTTTTTTTTTTAAATATATTTTATTGATTTTTTACAGAGAGGAAAGGAGAGAGATAGAGAGTTAGAAACATCGATGAGAGAGAAACATCGATCAGCTGCCTCCTGCACATCTCCTACTGGGGATGTGCCCGCAACCCAGGTACATGCCCTTGACCGGAATCGAACCTGGGACCTTTCAGTCCGCAGGCCGACGCTCTATCCACTGAGCCAAACCGGTTTTGGCGAGAATGTAAAATACTTTATGAATAATTTGTTTCATAGTGATGGTGTGTTAAAATAACATTCTGGCTATAGCTGGTTAAATAAAATATATTATTGAAATTGACTTCACCTGTTTTCTCTTTGCCGTTTAAAAATGAGTGGACCACCCTAGCAGGTTTGGCTCAGTGGATGGAGCGTCAGTCTGCAGACCTAAGGGCCCCCGGTTCGATTCTGGTCAAGGGCACATACCTCGGTTGCAGGTTCCTTCCATGCATAGTTATTACAATATTATTGACTATATTCCCTACGCTGTATTTTATATCCCCATGACTATTTTGTAATTATCAATTTGTACTTCTTAATCCCTTTACCTTTTTTCACCAGTCTTCCATACCTTTCTAGCCATCATCAAACTGTTCTCTGTACCCGTTTGTTTCTATTTTGTTAGATTTCACATATAAGTGAAGTCATATGGCATTTGTCTTTCACTGCTGAAATGTTTCACTCAGGAGTATACCCTCTAGGTCCATCTATTTTGTTACAAGTGACAAGATTTTGTTTTTTATGACTGAGTCATATTTCGTTGTATAGATGCACCGTGTCTTTATTCATTCATCTACTGATGGACACTTAGTTTGCTTTCATATGTTGGCTATTGTAAATAATGCTGCAATGAACATATGGGTGCATATGTCTTTTCAATTTAGTGGTTTTGGGTTTCTTTGGATGAATACCCCAAAATGCAATTTCTGGGAACTTCTTTGTCTTTTGTTTTAAAGTCTATTTTTAACTGACACATGTGAGTGTGGGACCAGCCTGCTTGGTGTCTCCGGCCCTCCTACCAGTATCGATGTAGCATCTCTTTTATGTCCTTAGTTGCAGGACTTCTGTTCAGCTAGACTTCTGGTAGTTCTCAGTGAGGGTTGCTCTGTAGTTTAATTGTAATTTTAATGTGGTCGGGGGAGGAGATGAGTACTGCCTTTACCTACGGCACCATTTTGGCCATGGAACTCATGGTTTCACCCCCTGATTTCCAGGGATGGAGAAGGGCTGGAGGTTGAATCAGTCATCAATGACCAATTAGCTAATCAATCATGCCTATGTAATGAAGTCTCTGTAAAAACCCAAAAGGATGAGTTTCAGAGAGCTTCCGGAATGGTGCCCAGAGAGGACATGGAAGCTTAGTACCCCCTCCCCCATACCTGGCCCTACGAAGCTCTTCCATCTGGCTGTTCCTGAGTTGTATCCTCTTACAATAAACCGGTGATCTAGTAAGTAAAATGTTTCTCTGAGTTCTGTGAACCACTCTAGCAAATTAATCAAACCCAAGGAGGGGATCATTGGAACGTCCAATCTGTAGCCCTTAATCTGTGGATGTCTCTGGATAGACAGTGGCAGAATTGAGTTGAATTGTAAAATACCCAATTGGTATCCACGGATTGCTTGTTGGTATAGACTCTCCCCCCTCCCCCCCGCCAGTGCACATTAGAATTGGGTGTCAAACTTCTTACAGCTGCAACAGATGTACCTCTCATACTGTAGTAATACATGATGCCTTTCATGACCCTTGGGTTTATAGTTTGCCTGGAAGAGTCTACAGTAAAGTGAATAATGGCAGATGAAGCCCGGAACTCACCTAGGCCTCAGCCAAGCAGAGCCCCAGAGCATCCCCCACCTGAACTATCCCCTTCTCTCTCTATTCTAGGCCTCAGTGTCCTGCTAATTCTGTCAGGATCAGAAGTGGAGAATTCTGGAGGTGAGTCTACGATTGTCAAAGGCCAGGGAAAGGAATTTGGGGTCTGCAACCTACCTCCAGAGGAGGGAAGGCGACCTTTCATTGGGAGAGAATATTAATCCCTGATGCCTTCTGCCCATTCCTTGGAGCTCCCACTCCTCCACTATCACCATTGTCACCCATTTATTTAGCTCTTGTATTTCACCAGGCTCAATGCTAAGCAAATTGCATGCTCCAACTCATTCAATCCTCATGACATCCCTGCAAAGATGGTTTTGACATTATCCCCACTTGACCAATGGTTCTCTAGAGAAGTAGCCGACTCAAGGTCACACAGCTGGTGGATGTTGGACTTTGCCTGTTTTCCCCCAAAAGCCTGTGTCCCAAATAATTTTGGGAGGTAGTTTTGCCTTTGTCCCTCTCCCCTCCGAACCCCCCAAGCAAATCCTGAGCAAGTAATTTATCTGGAAGGTGATCCTAGGAAGCACCATCTGGGAGTGGGAAGTCAGGTTAGAAGGCAAGGAACCAATATAGGGTCCATTATACAGTGAGTTACATGTGGGCAACTGGAGCTTGATCCCATGGGGACTGTTGGACGTAGTAAGAAACATGAACCTCACGGCTATCTCCCCCAATTAAACATTGATTTCCTGTTCCCCTTCCCCCAGCCCTCGGCACCCTCCATTCTACTTCGTCTCTATGAATGTGACTCCTAGTGACCTTCCGAGTGGAGCCATGTAGCATTTGCCCTTTGGGATGAGCTTATTTACTTATCACAATGTCTCCAAAGTTCATCCATATTGTAGCATGTGTTGGAATTTCTTTTTTAAAAAGCTGGATAATATTCTTGTGTGGATGGACCACATTTCATTTATCCATTCACCCATTCATGGGCACTTGGGTGGCTTCCATCTTTTGGCTACTGGGAATAGTGCTGCTGTGAACATAGGTAAACAAATATCTCTTGAAGACCCTGCTTTCACTTCTTTTGGCTATAGCCCATGAATGAAATTGCTAGGTCATATGGGAATTCTAATTTTTTTGTTTTTACTTTTTGTTAATCCTCACCTGAGGATATTTTTCCATTGATTCTTTTTTTTTTTTTTTTTTGAGAGTATGGAAGGGAGGGAGTAGAGAGGAGAGAGAGAGAGAGAGAGAGAGAGAGAGAGAGAGAAACATCAATGTGAGAGACACATGGATTAGTTGCTTTCCACACATACCCCATTGGGGCTGAGGATCAAAACTGCAGCCCTGGTATGCACCCTTGCCTGGGAATGGAACCCAAGATGCTCTGGTGCACAGGCTGATGCTCTAACCACTGAGAAACACTAGCCAGGACAGGAATTATATTTTTTAGTTTAGAAATTGCGAAACTGTTTTCCACAAGAGCTGTACCATTTTACATTCCTGTCAGCAATTCATTAGGGTTACAATTTTGTCACCTCCTGTTCTCTGTTTATTTTTGATAATATGATAACTGGTTTTATTTTAATGCACTGACTTTTGTCAGTCATTGATTGAGAGAACTACTTCTGTGGGGAGAAAGCATTGCTACTATCATGTGGAGAGCAAAGAGGACTCTGGTTGCCAAAGATAACCCCAGGTAAAGAAACACAGGTGCTGGAGAAGTTCTACTGTCAAAAAAGTGGTGTTGGTGGCAGAGGTGGGAGAGGTTTGGGCACTGTGAGCATGTGTGTTCAGTTGTGGGATGGGTGCAAAAAGGACGCCAACAGAGCTATTCCCAGGAGGACATTCTTTTGACCAGAGTCTGGTAATCCTAGGTGCTCAATGAATATTTCTTGAGTAAATGAGTAAACAAATGAATGAAAGGATCTTGTGTTCTCTGCAGCTTTCTGTCATACATGCCCTAAAAATGCCAGATGCTTCAACAGAACCCACTGTGCTTGCAAAGATGGGTATCAGTCCATGTCTGGAAGGAGGTACTTCACTGAATTTTATGAGAAATGTGAAGGTAGGATGCAATCCACATTCATCTTGGCATTTGGAAGGGGGCAGGGACATCCTTCTTTATCTCATTCCCTGAGTTACCTGAGTTATGTAGGGATGCTAGTGCTGCAAAGATACAACAATATTACAAGACTAGTGGCTTGGTGCACAAAATTCGTGCAGGGGTGGGGGGCTGTCCCTCAGCCCGGCCTGCACGCTCTCCAATCTGGGACCCCTCAGGGGATGTCCAACTGCTGGTTTAGGCCCAATCCTAAACTGGTAGTCGGACATTCCTCTTGCAATCTGGGACCACTGGCTCCTAACTGCTCACCTGCCTGCCTGCCTGATCACCCCTAACCACTCTGCCTGCCAGCCAGCTCGCCCCCAACTGCCATCCCCTGCTGGTCTCATGGCCCCCAACTGCCCTCCCTGACCAGCCTGCTTGCCCCCAACTGCCCCCTCCTGCCAGCCTGATCGCCCCCAGCTACCCCCCACTGTCGACCTGCTCGCCTCCAGCTAACCCCCCTGCCGGCCTGTTCGCCCCCAACTGCCCTCCCCTCCTGGCCTTATCACCCCTAACCGCCTCTGCCTCAGCCCCACCACCGTGGTTTTGTCCAGAAGGACGTCCAGAAGGTCTCCTGGTCTAATTAGCATATTACCCTTTTATTAGTATAGATAGTCCCAGAGTCCTTAAAGAAGTCCCTATCCCTATGCATCCTCCTCCTGATGCTGGCTTGATGATCCTTGGTTTTTCTTTAGAGGAAGGTAGAGTTCCCAGGACCCTGGGCTTTTGAAGTCTCAGCATTGGGGTTTTTTGTTTGTTTGTTTGTTTTTAATATATTTTATTGATTTTTTACAGAGAGAAAGGGAGAGGGATAGAGAGATAGAAACATCAATGAGAGAGAAACATCGATCAGCTGCCTCCTGCAGACTCCCCGCTGGGTATGTGCCCGCAACCAAGGTACATGCCCTTGGCTGGAATTGAACCTGGGACTTTTGAGTCTGCAGGCCGACGCTCTAACCACTGAGAAAACTGGTTAAGGCAGCATTGGTTTTTATATGTTTGTTTACTGGAAAACTTTACAAGGGGAGGGATCATCTCTGTGTTGTTCATTGTGGTATGCCTAGGACAGAGAATAGTGTTCTCACATAGCAGATGTTCAATAAAAACATTGACCAAGAGAACAAATAAATGAATCAGTATCTTGGCACTCATTACCTATCATGATCTGGCCCAGCTTAGTGTTCCAGTTTCACTTCTCACTACAACCATCTTTTCCAGCCAAAATTCTTTTTCAATTCCACTAATTCTAAAGGTCAATTTGAATACTGAAGAAAAATAGCACTCCTGAATATCTGATTGGTGGAACTGAACATCTTATGGATGGCATTAGTGTCAATGAAGAAGGTGAAGCATGCAATGGTAGACTAGGATTTGTTTTATTTTATTGTGGCAAAATATACACAACATAAAATTGATTTTTGAACCATTTTTAGATGTATCTTTCAGTGTCATTAAGTACTTTCACAGTGTTGTGCAGCCATTGTCACCATCCATCCACAGAACTTTCTCATCTTCCCAAACTGAAGCTCTGTTCCCATTAAATACTAACCCCTCATCCCCTCCTCCAGCCTCTGGCTTCCACCATCTACTTTTTGTTTCTGTTAATTTGTTTCCTCTTAGGGTACTCCTATGAGTGGAACCACAATACTGGATATATCTTATTTTTTTAAAAAAAAACCCAAAACTTTTTGTTTTGAAATGGTTTTAGACCTAAATAAAAATTGCCAAAACTGCTCAGTTAATTCCGTATTTCCTCCCCCCAGTTCCCCTGAGGTTAACCAAAGACATGACCACAGTACAATGATCAAAACCAGGTGATGATATTAACTAAATACTGACTTTTTTCAAGTTTCATTAGTTCTCCTCCTAATGCTGAGCGCCCCGCCTCCCCCCCCCCCCCCGCCCCGCCTTTTTTCTGTTCCAGGAGCCATTTCAGAATCCCACATTGGCCTTGATTGCCATGATCCTTGCCATGATCTTGTGTAACCTGGGACAGATCCTCAGAGTTCCTTGTCTTCTGCGACCATGACACTTTGATAGGACACCATAGATGCCCTTTTGCACTTTGCTTTTTTAGCTTAAATGTATCCTAGAATTTACTCCAAATCAGTTCATAGAGATTGTCCCCATTTTCTTTTTTTATAGCTTTGGGACGAACCATAGTTTATTCAACCCTCTCCTAAGCATGGGCATTTAAGTTGTTTCGATGTTTAGGCTGTTCTAATATTTGTGGAAGTATGTCTTTAGGGTAAGGTCCTAGAAGTAAGATGGCTGAGTCAAGAGGTAAATCCATATGTAGCTTGATTAGATATTCCAAATTTAACTCCAGAAAGGCTGTACCAATTTGCATTCTCACCAGCAATGCCTGAGAGCAGAATGTGTTGTCCAATGATTTAACATCTAACGGTTATCAGGTTCTAAAGCCCCATGTATATTTAGGTCTATTTCTGGACCTTTAGTCTCTTCTACTAGCCTATCTCTTCATGCACCAGTATCTCATCGTTATTTTGTTTTTGTGTTAATCTTTATTGAGGATATTTTTTCCATTGATTTTTTAAAAATATATGTTTTATTGATTTTTTTACAGAGAGGAAGGGAGCGGGATAGAGAGTTAGAAACATCGATGTGAGAGAGACATCAATCAGCTGCCTCCTGCACACTCCCTACTGGGGATGTGCCTGCAACCAAGGTACACGCCCTTGACTGGAATCGAACCTGGGACCCTTGAGTCCGCAGGCTGACGCTCTATCCGCTGAGCCAAACCAGTTAGGGCTCCATTGATTTTTTTTTTGAGAGAGAGAGAGTGTGGGAGGGAAAGAGAGAGAAATAGAGAAAGGGAGAGAGAGACATTGATTGGTTGCCTCCTGCATGTGTCTTGGCTGGGGCTGGGGATCGAACCTGCAACCCAGATATGTGCCCTTGATCAGACTTGAACCTGTAGGCAAGCACTCTAACCAGTAAGCACACTGGCCAGGGCCCTGGCTTTGTAGTATGTTTTGATGTCTGGAAGGCTAATCCCCACCTCATAGTTTTTCTGGCTATTCTTGCACGATAGTAGCAGTTCATCGCACTCCGTAAAATACTTGTAGATAGTTTTTATTGGGATCATGTTATATTTATAAATTAACTGAAGGAGAATTATCATCTTTATAATATGGAGCCATTTTATGTGAGAATAGATGTCCATTTATGAATGATCCTGGGTAGTAGAGATTCCATGGGCAAGGGAAAATAATATAGTTTTATGAGAATGAAAAATGCTCTTTTTCTCTTGATTCACAGATATTGATGAGTGTAAGACCGGGCTGGCAAAGTGCAAGCAGAAATCATATTGCAGAAATGAAATCGGAAGTTACTACTGCAGCTGTGTCCCAAATATTCCTATTCTCAACTGGGTGGCTAGTGTTTTAAAATTGAACCATCCAGATTGTTATGGTAAGAACCTCCAGTGCTTTCCAACATGAACAAGGAGGGGCGAGGAAGACTTTGAGAGTTCCACCAATGTCAGGCCAGGGTAAGAGAGCAGAGATCTGTCCTGGCCCTTGTCCTTCAACCCATCGTTGTAATCTTTCCCCAGGAAATCTTGTTTAAGCCCGAGATATCAAGCACCATCTCTACATCACTGCCTTACAAATTTATGTCTCTTTCCCGGGCTTCCAAATCGACACCTCTAATTTTCTACTGGACTTCTCTACTTGTTTCTTTCTCTCATTCATTTTAACTGTATATGTACTAAATTCCATGAGTTCATACTGCTAGCTCCAATCCCAGTTGAACCCCAGGGCTTGATCTAGCTTTCCTTTTTTCCTTCTTTGTAACTTCTTTCTTCAACAACAAAAAAAACCTGGCCCTCACTATCCACAACCTATTGCCTTATTTTTGAAGTCTTGGTGTAATTCCGTATTTTGAGTTAGACTGGATTTGATTTCTGACACTACCGCTTACTTTTGGGGAATGATTAACTTCTTTCTGCCTCGTCTGTAAGTGGGAAGAATAGCAGTAGCCTCGACTATGCTGGTTATGTGCTGCTGAGTAACAAATGACCCCAATGTTAGCGGCTTAAGACAACACATCTTTACTGGCTCACGGACTGTGTAGGGCAGGAATTGAAGCGTGCCTTACCTGGTCCTCTGCTTCTAGATCTCTCACGATTACAATCAAAGTATTGGTCAGGGATGCAGTCTTATCTGAAGGTTTGTCTGCTTCCAAGCTCACTCACACGGTTGCTGGCTGATTCAGTTCTTTGAAAACGATTGGACTGAAGGCCTCACATCCTTTCTGGTGGTGGCTGAGAGGTCGCCCTTGTTCTTAGCTATATTGGCCTCTCTAGCTTACTTTGTTACAACAAGCGCATGAGAATAGCCAAGAAGACAGTGTGAACAAAACAGAAATCCTAGTCCTTACTAACCTAACCTCAGAAGTGACATCTTTTCCCTTTTGCTGTATTCTGTTCATTAGAAATAAGTCTCTGAGTTGAGTCGGGGGGGGGGGGGGGGGGGGGGGGTGATTGGTGGGGGTGGGGGTGAGTTCACACAGCAGAATGTGGATAAAGGAATGTGAAGCAGAGATTATTTCAGAGACTTCTTACCTCACATACTGGGTGAAATACCTTCCTCCAAATTCGTGTCCACTCACGGAAACTGTGAATGTAATCTTATTTGGGAATAGGGTCTTTGCAGATATAATCAAATCAGGGAATTAGGAGATCATTCTAGATTAGGGTGGGCCCTAAAACCAGTATGACTGGTGTCATTATAAGAAGAGGGAATTTGGACATAGGGACACACACACAGAAGATCATGTAATGACAGAAGCATAGATTGGAGTTAGGCGGCCATAGACCAAGGGACAGCAAGGGGCAACCATCGGAAGCTAGAAACAGCAAAGAAGAATATATCTTAAAACCTTCAGAGGGCCCACAGCCCTGCTGACACCTTGATTTGGACTTGTATCTTCCAGATAATAAATTTCCATGTGTTAAGCCACCCAGTTTGTAGTGCTTTGTTACAGCAGCCCTAGGAAATGAACACACTCTACCTATCATTATTCAGGCATGTAAAATATTTTTTGCGCCTGGGAAGGCTCAATTAATATTAGCTGTTATGCTACATAACTCTGTTCTAGAACCTTCTGAGTTCCTTTCAATGAGCTAATGTGTATGATGGCACTTTATATACCATGCTGTGTAGACAAGGGCAAGTATTATTACTGTTTCTACATTATTCAATCAGTTATCATCCATTCCTTCGGGAAGTTTTCTCTGCACCCTTGATATTCTGGGGCCTCTTTTGTATACTCCCAAGTCATCTCACTCTATTTGTTAACATCTTGAACCCTTGTAATCAATTAATTGTTTGCCATTATTGATAGCCTGCAAACTCTAGAAGGGAATTCCCTTTGTCACTATGTCGACGTCTATTCATCAGGTTTAGCGCTGTGCCTGGCTTTTAGTAATTTCCCAATAAATACTATGGACTGAATGATTGAACTGGAAGCCCCATCCTAATTCTCTTTTTATTTTACTGTAGAAGGCATTTGGGACTTCTTAGAGGGAAAGTAGGATAGGATGTGGAAGCAGCAGGGAAGGATCCAACTTGAGGGTGCTTGGAAGAAGGGATGTGAACCAGGGTGTGTTATCTCCCATATTTGATTCACTGGCTACTTTTCTTTCCCAGAGGGCACTGGTGAGAAGATACAGCCATCAGAGACCATTTGGGTGAGTAAGGTGAAGCTAGGTTTGGGAAACAGCTAATTAGTCTTCCACGTCATTCTTCTGCTGAAATGCTACCCTGTGACTTTTAGGATACAGAATAGGAGTGATTTTGTCCTTTGTCCCAGGGGGGCAACATCTGGGGACATTTTTGGTTGGCACAACATCTGGGGACATTTATGGTGTTACTGGCATTTAGTGAATGGAGACCAGGGATATTGCTAAACACCTAACAGTGCCCAGGATAGCTTCCCACAACTATTATCTGGTCTCAAATGTCAATTGAGAAGATTGAGAAACCCTGGCAAAGGTGTCCTTCAAAGATCTGCATCAAGCATCTATCCTAGAGTCTCATTTTATCCCCTCACCACCTCTCATTCCCTATCTTCCTCTATAAGAAACTCTTTGTAGGTTCTAGATTCCTTCTTTTTTTTTTAAGCCTTCATGTTCTCAAAAATACAATGAAGCTCTGGATACACTCTTCACAGGGCTGCCAGTGATAAATGAGAAAAGTCATATCAGGTTGCCAGCACAGAACCTCGCTCACCTTAATAAATGTTATTGCCTTCTGGGTTCACCCAACCACACTCATATACATTCCTGATTTTTTAAGTTTATGTAAGAGTCTACCTAACTAGCTTTATTTCTTTGAAAGACAATTCTAAAGAAAAATGAAAGCAAACAGTACATTGCAAAAAAGGCTTCCCAATTACTTCAAGGCATGGAATTGACCATATGGAATGAGAGTTTGACTTCTCCAGGAAAGCATGAAAATTCTGTGTTTGATATAGGTAAGAAACACAGAGCATTTTTCCTATGGGGGCGGGGCAGGGATATTTTGTCAGACTTTGCGTTTATATGTCATGGAGAGAGTTCACTCAAAGGATTCTTCCCAAATGCAGAAGGTCAGTTCCAAGGACTATTTCCTTGGAAATCTTTTAGACGCTAAGCTTCTTTTGCTAAAAAACTAAGTTTCCCCCCTCACTAAGTACTTCAGCACACATTTTAAAATTGTTTTTGCCTTTAAATATTCTACCATAGAGGTTGAGCTTGCCTGCCCTAGTTCCAGCTCAGAGTTGGGTGGGCAGTGTGTGTTTCTCAGGTGATTTTTGACCATTTAATTCCCAACAGCCAGAGAAGTGGAAGGGAGTACCATCTGGTCTACCTTGTATGCAGAAAATGAAATCACCAGTAAGGGGTCTTTCACAGAAGGGAGTTTTTCAGTTCCTTAGGCATGAGAAATGAGCCAAGCAAAACTCACTCTCTTAATGTTTCCAGTCTATGAAACCAAGAGGTGCAATGAGACAAATAAGAAGACTGTTCTGGAAGCTGGAAATAACACAATGGATATTGACTGCAATGATGCTTTCAAAGGAACCACAAGAGGTACTGTGTCTAAGATGGATTCCCTTGACCTTCAGATTCTAGGCCTGTTGTCTCATTTTTAGGTGACTGGGCCAAGATGTGGGGACTTACAAAGTTTTTTATTCCAATTCACCAGACTATAAGCCCCCTCTAAAGTGATTTCTCTTCTGTTTTCTCAGAGCGTAAAGTTGCGCTTATCACTTACCAGTCTCTTGGGGATATCCTGAATGGATCCTTTTTCAGTGATAGAAGAGGAACACTGGACATAAAACTGAACTCTCGTGTTGTGAGTGGAACCATTGGTGTAAAGGAAAAAGTTTATATGTCTAAACCTGTGTTCCTGACCTTCAAACATACTCAGGTGAGCAAAACCCAGAACTGGTTCTCTATGTGTTACCTTAAATGGGTGTGTTATCAGGATCCTAGCAGCTAACCTAATCCAACTCTGATTACCCAGGGTTCAGAGAACAGACAATAAATATTGAGGCCTCCAGAGAAGCTTTTATTATCACACTAGAGGATCAGTGCACGAAATTCGTGCATGTGGGGAGGGTCCCTCAGCTCGGCCTGTGCCCTCTTGCAGTCCAGGAGCCCTCAGGGGTTGTCAGTCAGACATTCTTAGCGCTACTGCGGAGATAGGAGAGGCTCCCGCCACCACTGCTGCGCTTGCCAGCCGTGAGCCCGGCTCAGGGCATCTGGCTGAGCAGTGCTCCCCCTGTGGGAACACACTGACTACCAGGGGGTACTTCCTGAGTTGAGCGTCTGTCCCCTGGTGGTCAGTGCACATCATAGCGACCCATCATTCTGCCATTCAGTTGATTTGCATATTAGCCTTCTATGATATAGGAAGGATTATGCCTAAAAAGGCAATGGGGGCGGGGGGATGAGCATTATTGAACCCAGTGAAGGCTAGAGGCATAGAGGAGGGATTGCCCTGCTGGAGAAAGAAGCATGGAAAAAATACCTGGGCTTCTTTAGCTCTCATCCAATGATCTCTCACTAGTTCCTCTCATTGGTCCTACCAATGACAGGCAACCTGGGTAAAGCCGTTCATTAGGGTCAATTTCCAGAGCTCTGAGATGACCAGAGCATGGCAGAATCAATGAGAATAAAGTCCACAAACGTGTAGTATAAAACTCTTCACCACACGGGTTCCAGAGGATGGGGCTTTCCCAGCCAGTTTCCAACCCAGTGAATCCTTGACCAACCTATGAAGTTAAAATAGTAAAACCAGAAAGAGAGCCACTTTTATGCTATTCTCTTTCCAGCCTGGTGGTGCGAGAACAAAATATTTGTGTGTGTACTGGGAAGGATCAGAGGAGGGAGGCGGCTGGTCGACGGAGGGCTGCACTCATGTGAGCAGCAATGATTCTTACACCAAATGCAAGTGCTTCCACCTTTCCAGCTTTGCTGTCCTCATGGCTCTTGCTCCTAAGGTACCAAGATTCATGGTCCCTTCCTGTGAATCTGAGTGTGTCCAGGAAGCTGGGACGTGATCTGCTCTTATAAAGACTCTTAAGATGTGGGGTCAAGCAGAAGTAACTTACTTGAGAGGTAGTTCCAGGAAGTACCAGCAGGGGACTGAGGAAGTGAAATGGGAAAAATGACAGAAGCCACGCAAAGAGCATTATCAAGCCACTGTGGATAATTGGAGTTTTTGTCCCTCTGGAGGACTCTGGAGGTCAGTTCTAGCTGATGCATAGCCATTCATATATGAGTGCCTGCTATGCATCAGATGCTGTTATAGGCACTGGAACAAGACAGACAAAGAAATACTAACATTCATGGAAACTACTTCTGAGTGCTGTGTTTTCCAATAGGCTCACCAGCCACATGTTGCTATTGAGTATGTGAAATGTGGCTAGTGTGACCGAAGAACCAAATTTTAAATTTTACTTCATTTTAATTTATTTAAATTAAGAAACAGTGTAGAGTTCCATTGAAGACGATGGAGTAGATGGAGGCTGTGCTCACCACCTTCTATAAGTATATCAAAATTACAACTAAATTCTAGAACAATCAATCTGGAGAACCATCTGAAGAGTAGCTAAACAGAAGTCCTATAATTAAAGATATAAAGGAGCCACATTGAGACAGGTAGGAGGGACAAAGACATAAAGCGGGCTGGCCCCAAACCCATGTGTGGTGGTGAGAATCCATAGGATTTCTCAGCTGCAGATGTCTTCACTGAGGAGTGAGGGGTCTCAACCCAATGCCGGGCTTCCCAGCTCAGAGCACCAGTGCTGGGAAGATAAGCCCATGAAACATCAGGCTGTGAAAATCAGCAGGATTCTGTCCGTTCGGGTCAGACAGGATGCTGCTTAAAATCTAGGTGTTCTCTTAAAGGACCCACAAAATCTCACTTGTGGGCACTCATCTTGACCTCTGGCAGAGGGACAGTGGCTTGGGGGCCACCAGATACATACAGGGAGAAACTGAGTTATGTGGCTTCAGGGTCAGGGCTGGAGGGATGACAGCCATTGTCTCTGTGTTGAGCGCACTCCAACATATCCGAACCTGAACCTGCATTTGTCTGGTGAACTCCACTTGCCCCAACCTGGGGACTCCTTGAGACCCTACTTCACCCAACTCAAGTACAACCTGAGGCTCCTTCAGTGGCTGAGCCTTCTGGGCAGCCAGCAGATGGTGGCAGGTCTTTGTGACTTTTGATGACTCTCCCAGGTCTGGTACTGGTGAAAACTGGCCTTGGTTCTCAGTGTGATCTTTTTCATGCACATCCAAGCTTAACACAGGCAGCTACCAACCACAATCACTTTGTAGCTCCTAATAGGAAGCCCTAGGCCAATCATAGGCAGCATCTATGGCCTGCACCAGAGCCCCTCCCAGCGGGCCCCAGAACCAACACACCTAGTGGCCAGCTTCAGACCACATTAGAGTAGCACCCAATTAGTTCCACAAGTGGCACACCCAAAGATGGTCTCGGCAGGCACCAGGATCTGCTGGGGCAAACCCTACTCCATGGGGTCAGCCTGTGGAGAGCAGCTCATGTGCTGTGGTTGTGGCCAATCCTCACAGTCAGTGAGCCTTAAAGTCAATTCATCCACTGACATTTCAACAACAATCAAGACTCAACTTCAATAGGAGGCATACACAATCCACATAAGGGAACTTCTGGAGCACCTGGCTCAGGTGAACAGAGAGACTGCATCACTGGGCCCCACAGGACACCTACTACATAAGACCATTTTGCCAAGACTTGGACATGTAGCAGATCTACCTAATACACAGAAACAGACTCAGGCAGTCAAATGGAGAAGACAAAAAAAACCCAAAAAAAAACAACCATGAAAGAACAAGAGAAATTTCAAGAAAAAGAATTAAATAAAATTGAGGCAAGCAATCTACCAAACAGAGAGTTCAAAACATTGGTTATAAAGATGGTCAAAAAACTTAGTGAGAACTTCCACAAAGAGATAGTAAGCATAAAAACAGAAACTATAAAAAAGAACCAGTCAAAAATACTACAATAACTGAAATAAAAAAATAGACCAGAAGGAATCAACAGCATATTAGATGAAGCATAGGGTTGAATCAGCAATTTGGAAGACAAGGTAGGTAGCAGAAAACACCCAATTGGAACAGCAAAAAAAAAAAAAAAATTAAAAATATGAGTATAGTTTAAGGGACTATACTGGGATGACTTCAGTTTAGCAAGATTTGCATCATAGAGGTACCAGAAGGAGAAGAAAGAGAGCAAGGGATTGAGGGTCTATTTGAAGACATACAAATCCAGGAAGTGCAGAGAGTTCTAAACAAAATGAAGTCAAAGCAGTCCACATCAAGACATGTCAAAATTAAAATGGCAAAGGATAAAGACAAAGAGAACCTTAAAAGAAGCAAGAGAAAAGCAGTTACTTACCTACAAGGAAGTTCCCATAAGAATGTCAGCTGATTTCTCAACAGAAAATTTTCAGCCAGATGGGATTGGTGTGAAATAGTCAATAGATAATTCTCCACAGAAGTCATACAGATAGTCAATAGACATATGAAAAGATGCTCAACATCACTAATCATCAGAGAAATGCAAATTAAAAATCACAATGAGATATCACCTCATGCCTGTGAGAATGGCCATCATCAATAAATGAACAAATAATAAGCATTGGTAAGGATATGGAAAAAAGGGAATCCTTGTGCACTATTGATGGGCATGAAAATTGGTGCAGCCATTAGAGAAATAGTATGGAGGTTCCTCAAAAAATTAAAAATAGAACTACTTTATAATTCAGCAATTCTACCTCTGGGTATATTTCAAAATATGCCCAAAACACTACTTGAAAGAGACATATGCACCCTTATATTCATTACAACATTATTTACAATAGCCAAGATATGGATGCAACCTAAGAGCTCATCAATAGATAACTATATAAAGAAGATGTGGTGCATATATACAATGGAATATTACTCGGCCATAAAATAGAATGAAATTTTACCATTTGTGACAAGGATGGACCTAGGGGCTATTATGCTAAACGAAATAAGTTAGATAGAGAAAGACAAATACTATATGATTTCATTTATATGTAAAATCTAAAGAACAAAATTAATGACCAAACAAAACAGAAACAAATTCATAGATACAGTGGACAGACTGAGAGATGCCAGATGGGAGGGGGATTGAGGGTTGGGTGAAGGGATTACTATAAATTGGCAGTTACAAAATAATTAATAGGTATATAAAGTATAACATAGGGAATATATCAGTAATATTGTAATAACTATATGTCTATTTTAAAAATAACTATATGTAACAAAAGTTAAAAAAAAGTCTAACTAGCCCTGGCTGGTGTGCTCACTGGTTATAGCATCAGCTTCTACACCGAATGTTCATGTGTTTGATTCCCGGTCAAGAGCATGTACCTGGGTTACAGGTTCAATCCCTGGTCCTGGCCCAGTGCGGGTATGTGCAGGAGGCAATCAATTGATATGTCTCTCTCACATCGATGCCTGTCTGTTCTTATATATGCCCCTATTTTGAAGATGAGAACAGCAAGTCTCAAAGAGGTTCACTCATTCACCCGAGGGCCTGAGCTAGGAAGCCCATCTGACTCTCCATCAGGAACGTAACTACAGAGTTGGAAACTATAACAGGTCCCTCCTTTGGTGGCTCCTAGGCAGATCCCATTCTGACTGTGATCACCTACGTGGGACTGAGCCTGTCTCTGCTGTGTCTCCTCCTGGCAGCCCTCACTTTCCTCTTGTGCCGACCCATCCAGAACCTCAGCACCACCCTCCACCTGCAGCTCTGCATCTGCCTCTTCCTGGCCCACCTCCTCTTCCTCACTGGGATTGATCAAACTGAGCCTGAGGTAGGTAATTTAATCAAATATCCTTGAAATAATCAAATCTATCATCTTGTCTTGAGGAAAGACTGGAAGAGCGGCAAAAATCACCTGGGGGGAAACTGCAAGAGTCCCGATTTCAGTTCTCCTCCTGTATAATTTTGATAAGACCCATACTTTCTGACGGGCATTGAGCAAAATGATTGTGAGTCAGACTGATGGTATTAGACAGGTTTGCAATAGCTGCTGTAACAAATTAACTCCCAAAATCGGTGGCTTATCACAAGAGTATGTATACACTTTACCTGTATGTATCTGTAGAGGGTGAGCGAACATGTTTGAAGGGTGTCTATCTTCTAACTTCAGGCTGAGGGAGGCCCTTCTGGCTCATACGTGGTTTCAAGATCATTCATTTTAGCCAGCTGAAAGGAGAAAAGAGCATGGTAGAGTCCCACGAGGGAGGTTTATATGGGCCACCTCAGGAAGTGGTACATATCACTTCCTCTCACATTCCATGGTCACACCTAACTGCAAGGCATGCTGGGAAATATAGTCTCTGGCTGGGGAGTAATTTCTTAGAGACAAATCTATATTCTAGAATTGAGGGGTGGAGGGAGGCTTGCATTTTTGGTGGACAGTGTCTTTACCACACAACCAGCAGTTATATCTCGACTCTTCATCCTACTCACTACACGATCTTGTTGAAGTGACTTTCCCTTTTTAATCTTCCTCCCTAAAACAAGGGCATCAGCATAGGGCTCTAGCAAGATAGAATGTAGAGTCTGGATTAATCAACCAGAGGACAATGCTAGCTTTTATTTTTGTCATGATCATGATCATGATCATGATCATGATCATATCATCACATCCAGGAAGAATTAGTAGCAGATGTTCTCCAAGGCTCCTTTCAACCCTAAAGACTATGATCGCACTACCAGAAAGTTATGAAAGCACTATTCCCCTCCCCCCACACCCCCACAAAAGGCAGTAAAGTGCTACGGTTAACAGTAAGCATGATCTCCGCAGGCTGTTTGAGTTTCAAATACATTTTTGTTTTTTATTGGCTTTGTGATCTTGGGAGAAATTTTAACTTCCTGGGCCTCAGTTTCCTTAGTTCAAAACGGGCAGAAGTTGGCTAACTACAGTGCACAGGCTAATTCTGTTATTTTGTAAATAACACTTCATTGGAACCATGACTGCCAATGTCCAAGGGGTAAAGAAGATGGACATCTCAGCTCAAGAAGAGAGAGTGGATTCTCTTTTCCTGTTCCTTTTTCTTCTATTCAGGCTCTTCATGGATTGGATGATGCCTTCTTGGTGAGGGCAATGTTTATTACTTAGCTACTGGTTCAAATGCTAATCTCTTCCAGAAACACCCTCACAAACACACCCAAAAATGATGGATAAAATTAACCATCACAGCCTCCCACAGGGCAAGAGCAATGGAGCATCTCTATACCAATACTCATATGTCATGGATTTGAGGTCTGCTCTAATGGCATTCATCCCTTGGTGCTTCTGGCCTGCCCCATGCATGGGACAAGCAGACTTCCATGGCTAGCGAAAGCCTCCAGAAAATGTGTTGCCCCAGGCAAAGTGTCATAGGTGCTGGAATTAAAATTTCAGTCAGCATCCAGGAAACAATAAGTGCTGAGGATATAATCAGGTACAGACAACATTGGCACCACATTCCTAACTCTTCTCTCCCTTCCAGGTGCTGTGTTCCATCATCGCAGGGGTACTGCATTACCTCTACTTGGCCTCCTTTACCTGGATGCTCCTCGAAGGACTGCATCTCTTCCTCACTGTCAGGAACCTCAAGGTGGCCAACTACACCAGTGCGGGCAGGTTCAAGAAGAGATTCATGTACCCTGCAGGCTATGGGATTCCAGCTCTGATTGTGGCTGTGTCTGCAATAGCAGGACACAAAAATTATGGAACATACACTCAGTAAGCATGATGATAGCGTTTATGGCAGAAGTGGTAGCCATAATACAACTTCATGAAATTCAGGGGCAAGAGAGCAAACCGATGACCCCACATTAAAAATCTGTGGGTTTTATGATCTGTAGGATTCTGAAAGAATAGAATGTAAAGAATAACAATAACGACAAATCTCAAAGTCCTGTGCTATGTCAGCGATAGTGCTTTCTATCTGCAGGCTCTCATCTACTCTTCCCATGGGGCTGGCATTGCTTGTCATGTTATGCACAGGACAGCAGGGCCTTAGTGCATCTAATAAACGTTCTCAAGGTCATATCTGAAAGCAAGTAAGTCAGAATTCCCAAAGCAGTATTTTTAACAGCCATGTTTTGCTGCCTCACTAAAGAAGTTTGTAAAGCCTTGCAAAGTTTGTTGAAGAAGTTAGTATTTTGGCAATGGGGCTTAGGGTAGGAAGTAGGTATGCATGTGCTAAAACAAACAAACAAACAAACAAAAAATAAACAAACAAACAAGAAACATGTAGGAGGCTGTCCATCTTGAAGTCAGAGAATGCCTCATCTCCAGCTTGATCCCGATGTCCTGCCAGAATGGTTCTGGAGATGGTAGAGTAGATGGGAGTTGGCAAATTTTCTATAAAGGGCCAGATGGTAACTTTTTTATCTTTGCAGGCCATGTGGTCTCTGTGGCAATGACTCAGCATTGCCCTTGTAGTATGAAAGCAGCCAAGTCATAGACAATATGTAAATGACTGGGTATGGCAGTGCTTGAATAAAACTTTATTTATAAAAACAAGGGGTAGACTGAATTTGGCCCATGGGTCATAGTTTTGCAACCCTTGGAACAGAACTAAGAGTGGGAGCTTTTCTGACCAATGAGTGTTGGCTATTGCTTGATATCTTTGCCAGTTTTGTACTGCCAGGTTCCCTTTCAGAATAAGTTATACTACCATTGCTAACATAAGCCATGACAGCATACAGAGTCTTATGGTAGTTTTTTTTTTTTAAATATATTTTATTGACTTTTTTTACAGAGAGAAAGGGAGAGGGATAGAGAGTTAGAAACATTGATGAGAGAGAGAGAAACATCGATTCAGCTGCCTCCTGCACACTCCCTACAGGGGATGTGCCCGCAACCAAGGTACATGCCCTTGACTGGAATCGAACCTGGGACCCTTCCGTCCACAGGCTGACGCTCTATCCACTGAGCCAAACCAGTCAGGGCTTATGGTAGTTTTAATAACTACATTTACATTATTATCTTTATTCCTGTTTTACAACTTTATTGAGATGTAATTGATATACAGAAAATTATACATATTTAATGAATATATGTTTGTGAGTTTGGACACATGCATACACTGTGACACCATCACCACAATCAAGGTAACAAGCATATGCACACCTCCAAAAGCTTCCTGGTCGCACCCAGAACACTGACACTGAAGCAATCCATGGGTCATATTCATACTTCTCAAGTTTTACTTGTACTCCTTTGTGTGTTTAGTTCTGTACAATTTTATATAGAGGTGTAACCACTACCAAAGGTTACATTCCATATGATTCTCATTGTATAACACTCTTGAAATGACAAAATTATTTTTATTCTCTTTCTTATTGTAACACTTATTATTATAGTACTCACTGTTATTAGGATACCTACCTTTACTGAGCCTTAACTCTGCCAGGAAGTGTATCCAAAAACTGTGTACACATGACCTCATTTCATATTTCCTACAAGATCTATATGAGGAAAATGATGAAAGAAATCAGAGAAGGCTCAAATAAATGGAGAGAGAGTCCATATTCATGGGTGGTAAGACTGCATACTGTCAAGACGAAGGTAGTTCTTTCCAACTTCATCTATAGGTTCACAATGCATTTTATTTTTTGGACGTTTGACAAACTGGTCCTAATATTTATGTAGCAAGGCCTGGAATAGTTAACACAATGTTGAAGGAGAAGAATAAAGTCACAAAACTGACCCAACCTGACTTCAAGGCTTTGTAGATAGTCACAGTAATCATTTAAATTTTTAAAATACTTCTGTTAGCACCACTTTACACCTGGGAAAACTGAAACTCAGAACATATAGCCTGTATCAGATGGAGACTCGGGCCTGATTCCATCTAAAATCCAAGTCTGACCTAAACAGCTTCTGGCACTGCTCAGATCTTGTGAGAGGAGCCTGAATTAAATACTTTCTCTTCTGAGAAATAAGTGGGGAATCCTTATCTTTCTCTCAACAGCTGCTGGCTCAAGATTGATAAAGGGTTCATCTGGAGCTTCATGGGGCCAGTGGCCATCATTATCTTGGTAGGTGACCACTGATGGTTATATATTGGGGTGCCTGCCCTGGGTTGGCCAAGCATAGAGAGTGTTTGTTATTTGTTAAAGGGGAAATGAGATAAAGATAAGGAAATATAACTTAATTGATCAACCCTCTCTTACTGGAAATCTGTCTGTGTCTTTCCCTGGCTTCTGACTCACTCACTGGTTGCTTTGATATAATATAACCCTCTACCAGGCATTCTTTTAAAAATTCTACATTCGTTTATTCAACAAATATTTAGTAAGTGTCTACTCTGCATAGAGTAACATGTTTTTCTGTTGGTTAGGAACTTTCATTTACATTCATTATCCTGGTATAGATATTAACAGCACTTTTTCACTTTCAAAGTGTCCTGGTTTGAATGATAAATTATATAGTCACTGTGATCAAGCACTAAGTGCCACAGGTTCTATACTGTGTGCTGTTTACACCAGAGCATGTGTCTACACCATCCTTATGAAGCCTGTATCTTTTGGGAAAAGAGTCTTAGGTTCATCTCAAGTTGGGTTGCATGACATGGCCTCAAAAGGAAATTTCAAGTAAAATTCCCATGTTGCTTCCACAGATAAACTTGGTGTTCTACTTCCAAATTCTGTGGATTTTGAGAAGCAAACTTTCCTCCCTCAATAAAGAAGTTTCCACCATTCAGGACACCAGGTAAGAAGTTACCAGAATCACTGTTTTCCAGATTTTCCTACAAGACAATTCTGCCTGGGAGAGAAAAACCTATACAAAAATGTGATGTAACATTTCCTGGCACTAGATAAAGAATACATAAGGGACAACTTATAGAAGAAGTAAAAACTATAATTTTCAGGTGATTTCATGTACTCCCTCATCTCTTTATTCAGTAAATATTCATTGGGTGCCTCATTTGTGTAGCTCACTCTTCATATAAAATTAATGCCAAGACTATCAACATTATCTTTTTCACCCTGAAAGTTCAACCACTTTTGGATTCCATTCTCCTTGGTTGTAAAAACTCAATTCTCATTGGTGCTGACCTAAATTATTAAAAAATACTGATGGCAACAGCTAATATTAACTAGGAACCTGGTAGGTGTTGGGCACTTACCAAGATTAGTTCATTGAATGCTCATGACACCAACCTCTGTGGTGGGCACTACTAATATCCCCCCTGATAAGAGGAACAAACTATTCATTGTACCCAAGAGCGTGTACAAACCTTGCATTGGTGAGTCATGTGGACAAAACTTAAAGGAATTTCTGTCCAACTTCAGATCTTACCTTCGATCTCATGTACGTATGAAATTAACCTAACATCTCAGCTTCAGTTTCTTTGATCCTGGAGGGCTGGAATGTCAGCCTTCTTGGTGTTTCTCCATATCTCCACACACACACACACACACACACACACACACACACACACACACACACACACCAGCTTGCCTAGCCTAAGGCCATCAACAACTCATTCTAGACACAATTTTTGTTTGAAGAAATCCAACACCGTGTTATGTTCTAAAGTCATGATATCTTCATCATCCACTTTTTGGAATAGAAATTTCTAGAATGCACTTTCCACAAATCTTCCAGTAAGTCCAGGTAAGAGACTTCGCAGGGAAATCATTTCCAAGAGTGGGAGAAAGTGTTATTCTCAGAGGCAATAATTGAAAACATGGGTTCTGCCTCATCCTTAAGCTACGTGCCTTTGTGAAAGCTGCTTAGCCACCCAAGGTTGTTATGAAGTTTAAAGATGGTGATGCACCCAAGGCATTGAGTACAGTGCCCAACAAGCAGTGCGTCCCTGATAAATGGTAGTAATTATTACTCTTTTTCCTTTTCAGAGTCATGACATTTAAAGCCATTGCTCAACTGTTTACCCTGGGCTGTTCTTGGGGCCTTGGATTTTTTATGGTTGATGAAGTTGGGAAGACAATCGGATTAGTCATTGCCTACATGTTCACCATCATCAATGTCCTGCAGGGGGTTTTGCTTTTTGTGGTACACTGTCTCCTTAATCGCCAGGTAAAGTTAATTACTTTCTCTCCGAGTTTTATTAAATGGCTGTTCATTTCTTGTCCTCTTCTGACCTTTTATATTTTGGGGTTGCCTTGATTCTGGGAAGAAGGTTTAGGTGCTGCTTGGGTTTGCCATGTGCTCTGGGTTTCATTTAGCCTCTTAACATTAATCATTTGAGCATATCTCTTAAGAACATGCAGTCATCTGCTCAGGCAGCCATAAAAAACAGCGGCCGTGTGGCTTAGACAACAGAAATTTATCTCCTCAGAATTCTGGAGGATGGAATTCTGAGATAAGGTGCAACTAATGTCAGGCTCTGGTGAGAGCCTCCTAGTTGGCTTGCAAGTGGCCATCTCCTTTCTGTGTCCTCAATGGGTGAGAGAATTCGAGAGAGCTTTTATGCTTCTTTTTATAAGGACACTAACTCTATAGGATCAGGGCTCTACCCTTATGACCTGATTTAGTCTTAATTACTTCCATAAAGGCCACATCTCCAAATAACCATCAGTGGTCACCTACCAAGACAATGATGGCCACTGGCTCTCATTGTTGAGCTAGAGCTTTAACATATGAACTGGACACAAACCAGTTCATAGCAGAACATGTTATCAGTCAGGATAAGGTAGATTATGCTACAGTAACAAATAGCCTCCCTCCCCTCATTCACAATAAGATTTATTTCTTGCTTATGCTACATAGCTCCATGAACTACATTATCTTCATTTGAGGATGTATGCTGAGGGGGCAGCCCCTATGTAGAACATCAGTGTTCTCATGGCAAAGGGAAAGTGATCATGGCACAGTCATCTCTTTCATTGGCCAAAGCAAGTCACATGGCCAAACCTGAACTCACAAGAGAGAGGATGAATAATTCTCCTGTAGTGAAGGGCACTGCATGGAGAGCACTGTAATATTTGGCAAAATCTATGATACTAGTAAACTCAGAGAGATTTTAGTTTAATCCCAGTTTTTCCAATGAGTGGGTTGCTGTGTGACCTTGGGCAGGCTGCTTCCCTCTCTGAGCTGCGATTTTCTCATCCAAAACTGTGGCAGTACCTACCTCATAGGGCTGATAATTCAATGAGATAATTCAGTATCAATCTCCTAGTAACAACCTTGGCATATACCAAGTTCTCAGTGGAGGGCATTATTATAATTTTACTCTTTATAGAAGATTGAGTATGGTTTTCCTGGCTTTCTCTTTCTTTGCTAGTGAGTGGAACTGCCAGCAATTAAGATGCAAGTGATGCCCTGACTGGTTTGCTCAGTGGATAGAGCATCAGCCTGCGGACTCAAGGGTCCCGGGTTCGATTCCAGTCAAGGGCATGCACCCTGGTTGCGGGTACATCCCCAGTGGGGAGTGTGCAGGAGGAGGCTGATAGATATTTCTCTCTCATCGATGTTTCTAACTCTCTATCCCTCTCCCTTCCTTCCTGTAAAAAATCAATAAAATATATTTTAAAAAAAGATGCAAGTGATAAAAAGACATCTTAACGGTTCATTAATTTCTCTTTTGTCTGTTAATATTGATTTCAGAGAGAGAGATAGAAACATCAATGATAAGAGAAAAGTCATTGATCAGTTGCCTCCTGCACACCCCATACTAGGGATTGAGCTCTGACTGGGAATCGAACCTTGACCTCCTGGTTCATAGGTTGACACTCAACCACTGAGCCACGCAGGCTAGGCTGTTAGTGCCTTCTTAATGCTTGGTACTCTTTACACACACAAGAAATAAAATACAATTAAAGTGTTTTGGCAAATTAATGTTGAGTATTAAATATTCAGACGTCTTTTTTATAACCTGTTGAAGAGGTTAAAGGAAGACAATTTGTGGAGTCACTTTGGGTGGCTTAGTATTAGGTCTCTGGAGTAAGAATGACAAGATTCTGAGTGCTGGTTGTCTGACCTTATGCAAGGTAATATACCTTCAAGAGTCTCAACTTCTTCATCTTTAATGGGGAGTGGGGACAAGAAGTCATTTACTGATTGGATTTATGTAAGGGTTAAATGATATATTGTATGTAAGTACATTAAACACAACTAGTTTTCAATACATGGTGCCCTTCATCATCATAATCACTGTTAGAGTTTGGCTGGTGACTTGGGCTGTGAAAGAATTCACAACTGAAAGAAGATTTGCAGAGAGGAAATTGATTTTACTCTCCAAGAGAGGAAAGGGTCAAGTATTGCTAGTCAATACAGGGCAGGGAAGAAAGGGTGGTCTGCTCTTTTAAGCAGTGGCTGTTTGTTGCTAAGCAACAAGGAAGGGAGGAGGTTTGTGTTGAAGTTGAGCAGATACCAGGGGGGTTGTCTTGAAACGTTAGTTTGCTTTCCAGAACACAGTCCAGCAGATGTCCTAAGGAGATGTCTTATCAATTTTCCCCAAGCCTGTAAAACATGCATAGAACAAAAGTTATGAAGAATTCAAAAGAAAAAAAAAAGAATTCAAAAGAAGCTTGGAAGGAAACTTTCTACTAACTAGAGGTTCCTTGGTGTGAATTATCCCTGGGTTATGAAAACAGCAGGGAGGAGGGAGATGCAAGAATGTAGTCTTTAGAGTAGCTTTAGAGCAGTTTGAACAGAAGAACTGTTTAAGTCAGAGGAGCCAACACTCTTGGGGTTTAATTACCAGGTGCTTCTCATAAGTTGTGGAAGGCCACAGCAAAGAAAAGGAACGGCCTTTTTCTGTCCTTATAATCACCACCATCATTACCTTTACTATCATCATTATTGTCACCATCACCACCATTTAATCTTCATTATCATCATCATCATTTACACCAGGGGTCCTCAAACTATGGCCCGCGGGCCACATGCAAATACAAATATTGTATTTGTTCCCGTTTTGTTTTTTTACTTCAAAATAAGATATGTGCAGTGTGCATAGGAATTTGTTCATAGTTTTTTTTTAAACTATAGTCCGGCCCTCCAATGGTCTGAGGGACAGTGAACTGGCCCCCTGTTTAAAAAGTTTGAGGACCCCTGATTTACACCATAATCACACCACCACCATCATTATCTTTGCTATCATCATTACCATCATCATCACCATCACTAACATGATTATATTCACTTTCATTATCACTACATTCATCATAGTCACCATCATCATCACTACCTTCATTATTTTCATCATTACCCTTTTTATCATCATTACCTTTATCACCATCACCATCATCACTTTCATTATTATCACCATGTAGAGTCCTTATGGTGCTTGACATTTAGTAAACACCTTTTCTAAAACTGAGGAGAGTAAAATTTAAATTAAAAATTAGCCCAGCTGGTGTGACTCAGTGGTTGAGTGTCGGCCTATGAACCAGGAGATCATAGTTCCATTCCCAGTCAGGGCACATGCCCAGGTTGTAGGCTCGATCCCCAGTAGGGGATCTCTCAACATTGATGTTTCTCTCTCTCCTTCTCGCTTCCTCTCTGAAATAAATAAGAATATACTTAAAAGAAATCACTATGGGTTTGGTCAAGACTATACAGAAAACCAATGAGAGAGCTGTAGAGAGCAGTGGCTAGTCTTTAGTCTCCTATTTTTAGGTTCCTTTTTTTTCTGAACCAAACTCTGGATGTAACACAATCCTCTATATTCCTCAAACTTACAGGTGCGAATGGAATACAAGAAATGGCTTAGTGGGGTGCAGAAAGGAGTTGAAACCGAAAGCACTGAGGTCTCTGCCTCTACTACCCACACCAAAGTGGTAAGACCAGCTTCTCTGCCACGCCGTGCACTTGTCTGAACCCCACTTCTCGTGCTGCCGTGAACATCCTTGTTTCTTGATCTGAAAGAAAAGAGAAATTGCATTAGGTTCCTGCATTATGAAGCTGAATGTCCGAGTAGAGTATGTGGGGTTTTATCCAAGGCGTCCCTTGAGATAAACTTAACCATGCAGGTGTTCCGACATTAAGCAGTTGCTAGCAAAGAGACTACTCTAAGCAAGCAGGACCGAGGGTAGGCATTATTATCTGATTTTATATTAATATAGTTAAGACTGCCAGAGGAATTATACAAAAATATGCAGTTGCAAATCACACAGCACACTTTATTATTCACAAGGTTCCTGGTGCCGTGGGCTCAGACTTAACGGGGTCCCCAGGAAAGAGTGGCATCCTCTGCGGGCAGCGGTGGATCCGTCTTTGGGTGGCTGGCCGTCCGGTTGGGTCGAGTCAGCAGGAAGAGGTTTGGCGTTCTTCCGCCCTCTGACGTGGAGCAAGGCAGCGTGGAGCATGGATCAAAAAGAGGATCGATGTCTGGGGACCCGTTTTTAAGCCTGTCCTGACCCACGGCAGTCCAGATGGCTATCAGTAACGTACGTCATTACAAAAGTGTTAATCAGAGTACAGGCTGGTTATCAGCTACAGTGTCACTCAGAAGGTGTCTATCAGGTTTACAGACGTCATTCCTAAGGGGAGCATTCAGCTATGGTCTTATCTATATGGTGCAGCTAAGGCTTGGCCAGAGTGGTCATTCCTGTGCTCTTTAATATTTCACATAAATATTTCACACAAAATAATTTTTCTACATTTCCTATAACACTCTTCAGTTATTTTCTATTGCTATAACATTGTAGCACTCTTTACTTCTTTCCTATCATTGTCACTATTTCTATGACATTCCTATGGGTGGAGTACAGGAAAAATATGGGGTAAGTTTTATCGATGTCACACACACACAGGGAGGTGGCTACCGAAGTGGTCAAATCTGACCCTTAATATGTCACTCTAAAAGTTCACCCTAAAATCTCTCTCTCTCTCTCTCTCTCTCTCTCTCTCTCTCTCTCTCTCTCTCCCCCCCCCCCCCATTCCCTTTCCCATTCTCTATATAGCAGCCAGAGTGGCAGTGAAATATATAAATCAGATTATTTTACTCCCCTACTTAAATCGCTGCCTTCCCATCACATTTAGAATCAAACTGAACCTCCCATCATCACTTAAAATTGGCCCAACACCCCTATTCACCTGTGTTGGCTGCTTTTCAGTTCCCTGAACTTCCCAGGCTCATCCCTGCCTCTGGGCCTTTGCACAAGCTGATTCCTCTAGCCCAGGGGTCCTCAAACTACAGCCTGTGGGCCACATGCAAATACAAATATTGTATTTGTTCCCGTTTTGTTTTTTTACTTCAAAATAAGATATGTGCAGTGTGCATAGGAATTTGTTCATAGGTTTTTTTTTTAAACTATAGTCCAGCCCTCCAACGGTCTGAGGGACAGGGAACTGGCCCCCTGTTTAAAAAGTTTGAGGACCCCTGCCCTTCCCATTCATCCTCCCAGGTTGTCTCATTAATGTTCGAACTTCAGCTGAAATGTCACCTTCTCAGAGAAGTTTTCCTAACCACTCATTCTATGATAGTCTCACTCTCTGTCACTGCATTCTATTTTAATTCTCTGAATACCTGTATCTCATTATATGTTATTTATTTTAAAGACATCAGAGTGTTTGCTTTTAGTCAGTCTCTACCCTCTGTAAGTTTCATGGTTTGGGCTACTATAGTTTTCCTTTTGTCTGGAGCAGTGCCTGGCCCATCAACTTAATTTGTTGTGTCTAAATTGCCTGTTTAAGGTTGAGTAAAGAAAACAGGGAAAGCTCAAATGGTTTGCTTAAAGCAGTGGTTCTCAACCTTGGCTGCACATTAGAATCACCTGGGAATCTTTTTTTGGTGGGGGGATCTTTTAAAAATCCTGATTTCTGGGCTTCATCCTCCGGAAATTCTGTTTCTTCATTATGGGGTGAGGCCATAACATTAGTAACAAAGAAACAGAATTTCCGGAGGATGAGGCCCAGAAATCAGGATTTTTAAAAGATTCCCAGGTGATTCTAATGTGCAGCCAAGGTTGAGAACCACTGGCTTAAAGCTACTCAGCCAGTTAGAGGGATTCTAACACAGGTCTGTTTCCCTCCAAATGTTGACAACTTTCTTTGGTTGCTATCAGAATTGTTGTTCCTTCTGATGAACAACTTTAGGGAACAGCTGTTCATAGAACACACAGTTGCACGTCAAGGATAGTTCTGCTATGTGGCTACTGACTGTGTCCTAACATTACCCTGTTTTCACAATATATTCCGCTGGTTTCCTTTTGTCCGAAATCACCAATGGTCAAAGGATATGTCTATCTGAGCTGTAAATGAAGGGTCCCAACACACACTTGGTCACCAAAACCATCTCACAAGGTGGAATCCATAGCATCGATTTGGTGTACAGGTCAATGCTCGAACCAGCAAGCAACATTGGCCAGGGCCCCTTATCTTTTTTTAATCCTTACCAGAGGATACGTTTTTATTGATTTTTAGAGGGAGAGAGAGAGAGAGAGAGAGAGAAACATCAATGTCAGAGAAACATTGATCAGTTGCCTTCTGTACTCACCCTGACTGGGGATCAAACCCCAAACCTAGGTATATGTCCTGACCTGGAATCGGACCCACAACCTTTTGGTTACAGGACAACACTCCAACCACCTGAGCCTCCGGCCAAGGCTATGATTCCTTATCTTTGAACAACACTTTGCATTCTAAAAAGCACGCATTGAACCTTGAAGTCTTCATTACGCATCTGTAGCATTTAAGTGATTCATCACTGTTGCATTTAAATGACGCCAAAGCGCCTGGGTTCAAACCCCAACTATACCACTTCCAGGCTCTGTGACCTTGCACAAGCCACTCAATGTCGCTGTGCCTCAGTTTCTCCATCCATAAAATGGGAGTAGTAGTATCTATCTCATGAGAATGAAATGAGGTCCTATGTGTTAAGTGCTTAGAACGCTGCCTGGCACACAGTAAGCACTTCACCTGTTTGTAAAAAGATGAAATAAATAAAAAGGCCATCTATGATGGTAGGGGCGAGGTGTGGAACTGTAGAGTCAGATGGTAGGATTTCTTTATTCAGCTTTGGACCTTAGCAATTCTAGCTTGTCAGCCCCTGTATGCTAAACTTTTTAGTGAATTTCTGAGGTGTAAATTTCTCGTCAGCCTTTTCTCCGTATTTTCTCCCCCAAGTAGGAGGAACCGGGGAAGTCATCAGAATTTATCCACAGAAGAGACCCTGTGTTTCTCCAGTCACAGCCTGGGACTCATCCTGTCACTGTTTTTTGGCAAAGAACAGAACACTGAGCTGCTCATGGACGGCGCCCCCTGTGGTCACATAAGGACTGGACAAGCATCATCGCCTGTATCTTCCCTGTGAAAACGAGTCATCTTGCCTTCGCCTGTTTTGGCTTTTATTGCCACAGACAGAAAGAGGAACACGGGAACGTTCTTAGACTGGAACCCAGAAGTGCATGTTATGTGCAGTAAAGTGTTCAAGGGATCCTTTTTTTTTTTTTAATATATTTTATTGATTTTTTACAGAGAGGAAGAGAGAGGGATAGAGAGTTAGAAACATCGATGAGAGAGAAACATCAATCAGCTGCCTTTTGCACACCCCCTACTGGGGGATGTGCTCGCAACCAAGGTACATGCCCTTGACCGGAATCGAACCTGGGACATTTCAGTCCGCAGGCCGACGCTCTATCCACTGAGCCAAACCGGTTACGGCAAGGGATCCTTTTTAATGAGGAGGGAAATGAGTGGATTTCCCTCTTCCAGCTGTTGCCACCTTGCCCGGCACCTGGGTTCAGCTCACAATCCTTCTCTTGCTTCTCTGTTGCCTTTCATGCTTGTAAAGATTTTACATTGCTCAAACATCTGCATAATTCAATACGTAATTCCCATATGAATACATATTAAAAAGGGGGTTCCCCTCCCCCATTCCCCCATTAGTGCTGCATTGTCACCGGAAGGAGCTTGTGGTCAGGTCACCGGGACTTTTCCTGATAACAGTTTTGAACCCATCTGGTTAAAGAAAACGTTGTTTTCTTAGTCTCACCTTGAGCCTGTGCTAGTGTAAGGGCTGCTAAACCAGCATGAATTCTCTCAGTGGTGGTTCGGCCTTATTTATTTATTTTTTTGCCCTTCCTAATTTGTTTTCCAAGGTTACCGGATTTTAGGTGTATTTTTCAGCAATAGAATCAATAAGTGCATGGACGATGTTCTTACCCCACATTTAAAAAACAATTTTAAATTACAACAATAAATGTTAAAACAGCCAAGAGTCATCATAATTCATTTGAAGAACTTTCATGTGTGATTTTTGGGTTGTGGACAAAAGGACTGTGTCCCTTTTCTGCTCAACTAGCTCAATGTCTCCTTCACGTGGCAGCGATATAACCAGAGGGTATAATTCACTCCACTGGCTGGCTTTGAAATTCTGTGATTCCCCTTGGAAAGTTGAAATTTTGGGAGACTCTCCTGGTGTTTTTTAAAAATATGTTTTTATTGATTTTAGAGAGAGGAAGGGAGAGGGAGAGAGAGAGAAACATTGAAACATCGATTGGCTGCCTCCTGCATACCCTCTACTGGGGATTGAGCCTGAAACTAGGGCATGTGACCTGGGGGGGAGGGGGGGCGTGGGGGGGAGGAGAGGGAACGGAACCGGTGACCTTTCAGTGCATGGGACAGTGCTCAACCAACTGAGCCACACGGGACAGAGCTCATATGGTGTTTTTTATATCATACAATTTCAAATTTACATGAATAAAACTTGCATAAGATGCACCATTTTCAGGAGGATAGTTTGACACTATGCAAATTTAATATGTGCATAATCTGCTCATTTAAAACTTCCATTGTGTGGGGCATGAGTACGGTGTTTTGGCCAGGTTTAAGCCTCGGACTAATGGAAGGTCAGGGTCCTCTCATTGCCACGTGCAAGTCCCAGCTGGAGGGCAGGGCCCTCCCAGCACAATCATAGCCAACGGCTGTGGCTGTGAGCTTGAACCTATGGTCCAAACACGTAGCCCCACGTGCCTTGTGCTAGAGTTCAGGTGCATGTAGTTGAGTGAGGTTGGAACTCACGAGAATGCTGTAAACAACGTGATCACGCCCCTACTTTGCCTCGTGGCATCTGCTATAAAATAAAGACTCGGCTTGTGGGCGCTGGCATTGTCTCCTCTTCGGGAGGCAGCGTCCCACCGAGATCCAGCTATTATTCTCTTGTCCGTCTTTCCTTAATCCTTTCACCCCTCCCCCCTACCCCCCCTCGGGATCACCCTTGGTCGTACTGGCGTGGCACACCATTGCTAGTAATTTATTCCAGGGAAACTGTGATAAATTTGATTTATAAATACAGGGTGATCTGAAATATAAATTCAGGGTGAGGTGATGTATTCCATCACCCTGAATTATTGGCCGTGATGGGTTGGATGGAAGAAAAGGAGCCTTTTGTACACAAACATGTGACTGTAAACCTGTAAGTACATTGACAAGTCCACGAGGCTGCCACACGCAAAGAGGAGACCAGCCAGCAGGGCTTACCTCCTGCCACCAAACTCTGGAAAACCGCATTTGTGTCCCTGAGTCTCTCTGGGGTGTGCGGGGCCGTTGCATGGATGCCACAAGGTCCCAGACGCCCTTCACAAACTGAAAGAATGTCCCCCAACACCCTTCACTGCTGAGGAGAGAGAGCATCATGAGCGAAGGTTTTCTCTGATGCAACAGTTGGGGGCAAACAAGGGCTACAGGTCAAGAAAGACTGACACAGCCCAGGGCTTTTGTTAGCTCTCATTGCCGCTGAACAGATCAGGTTCTGATTGTTCATTAACTTGTTGAAGGAGAATAAATGTGTGTATGGCAAGCAACAAGTGGCTCACAGTTTTTTTAATTGCCTGCCAGACCAAAAATTTCTAGATAATAATTGGTGTTTGGTTTAAACAGATCAGACGCATTCACAATAGTTCACCATCATGTTGATACATCACCTTCCATTCTACTGTTTCCATTTCATTGTTGTCATAGAAACAAGGTGTTGATCCATCAGGACTGTTTCAGTAATTAGTGACATATCCATAGAATGTAATAAGGAATACGCAGTCAAGTTTTTAAATCAAATGATTTATTTATTTATTTTTAAAATTTTATTTATTTATTTTTTGTTAATCCTCACCTGAGGATATTTATTCCAGTGATTTTTAGAGAGAGAGTGGAAGGGAGGGGGAGAGATAGAAAGAGAGAAACATTGATGTGAGAGAGACATCGATTGGTTGCCTCCCAAGTGTGCCCTGACAAGGGCCGAGGATGGAGCCTGCAACCTAGGTACGTGCCCTTGATCGGAATCGAACCCCAGATGCTTCAGTCTGCTCTATACATTTTACTTATATTTATTTTATTTATTTTTAAAAATATATATATTTTATTGATTTTTTACAGAGAGGAAGGGAGAGGGAGAGTTATAAACATCAATGAGAGAGAAACATTGATCAGCTGCCTCCTGCACACTCCCTATTGGGGATGTGCCTGCAACCAAGGTACATGCCCTTGACCGGAATCGAACCTGGGACCTTTCAGTTTACAGGCCGACACTCTATCCACTGAGCCAAACCAGTTAGGGCTGTAGTCAAGTTTTTAAAATGAGGCATGTTTTCATGTGCTCTTATAAAAAGACCTCCAAAATGTATGTGTCATATGAAATAAAACGTGTGTGATTCAGTGAATAGAGTATAATATATGACCAATAAGTGGACACACTCTGCTAGTGGATGGCTCCTGGTTATTTTTAAATCAGAAACTCAGAAATGAACCTTTCTCTCGGGCTCAGGGAGGTGTGGCTGGGAGGGCGGGGGGGCTGGAGTGGGGGTGGCAATCTGCTTTGGGGGTTGGGTCCCTGGGCTCAGCAAGGAGACACTGGTTCTAGCCCTGGCCACATGTGGTTTCCTTCTTTGAGGACCCACTACTTCCCCAAACCAGCTGTGCTTCTGAGGTTCATCCTCCCCTCCACCACTCCTCCTCACCACCCAACTCTGACGCTGGGAGACCTATGCGGGCTTCCCAGCCGCCCCCTGCCCAGCGAGATCCTCCTGCCACAGCAGAGTAACTGAGAGGCGGGAAGACAGACCACTAAGCACTCGGAAGATGCAGAAATTCACCCTTATTCAAAACACCGGTGTGCTGGCTCAGGGGATCAGTTCCCAAAGCTGAGCCCCCCAATTCTGCTGAACTTAGTCCTATACAGGCCTAGGTTCTGTTTCTTGCTTCCGGGTCTTTGTATGGTTTCTAACATTCTCTTTTGCTAAAAATTAGGTTGTAACAGACCCCTGGCTGACACCGGCTGCCAACACCTGGGGACTTGGCTTCTGTTCAAAGCCTCGGTAAACTTACTGTGCCAGGATGTGGGGCTGCACGGTCCAGCAAGCAGGGGTAGGCTAATTATAGGCAAGCAGACATCCTGTTGCTGCAGAGGTTGGGTAAGCTGCCCTTACGCTCCCAGTTCAGCACTTCTTGTCCACAGACTTCGACTCTGCCGGAGGCCCTGGGGCAGCCCCCTGTCCCCCTCTCAAGAATGATTAACTCCTGGCTAATGATTAACTCCTGGTGCATGTGGCTTGGTCTTTGGAGCAGGTGGTCCATGCCAGCTGGGCAATGGGAGCGAAAGGTTGTCCGGTTCTACCAGGAGCAACCACCTAGAGTTTGTATCACTACTGAAAGCCAGAGCCTTTGGCATCCAGCAGACTGGGGGAGCCCTCGGGGGCCAGAGGCAAAACCAGTGAACCTAGGGAGTCAGAGTCTGAGAGAGGGAGGGTTCTGGGACCCCCACAAAGTAAAAGAATGCCTGCTACCATGATAGAGCAGCACAAGGGAAGGAGGCCAGAATCAAGCACAGGGCCACAGTTAAGTCCAGCCAACCGTGGCCCTTGGGTAATGATGGGGGCGGGGGCGCTAAGCTCAGGCTGCAGGAAGGTGCCCAGTGACCTGAGGGTGGCCAGGCAGATGTAAAGGACTCTGCTGTCTTTCTGTCTGCAGGTGGTCTGCAGGTGAACAGTGAAGCTGAGATGAGCTCGGCAAGCAGGATTGAGTTTAGAGAAGCAGAGGGCTACTGCTCGCTCAGGCGTGTAGCAAAACCTCCAAAGTTCTCATGGCTTTTATTTGGGGAGTACAGCAAGTAACAATGGAGTACAGCAAGTGACAGTGGTAAACAGGCATGCCTATGAAATCATCTGAGCTAAGTTATACATTAAACTATTAATTTCCAGTATTGTTCAAAGACCCTCTCAACCAGCAGCTGTGTACCCTCCCTTGTACTTTCCATGCCCTCATGGACTATTTATCACCTCAAGGAAATTCTACCTCTGAACAATAAATCTTGCGTGCAAGACTTTGTTCTGACGTGGCCCGCTTGCAGGCCCCCGCCTTTTCTTGGCAGAACGTCCTCTTCTAGTTAACTTCATTCCACTTGACCAGCTACACTGTCACTATCCCCCTGCTGCCTAGGG